AAAATATACCCACAAAGCGCGGTGGCTGTTTTGCTTGTTTATGTTGGACTGCTATGGTGTTCTATTCATGACTTCGTTAGTGCAAAAATGAATTTAGAAGAACATTGCGCCGCTAGTGGAACCAATATTGAAATGAAATTTGAAAGAGATTTACTATCAGAAACAGCTGATTTGATTTTATTGCGCAAGATAATAGAATTCCTCCTACTCGGTAATTAATTCCAATAAAATCGTTAAGATTAACGAGTTCATCCACCTTCGCTCTGAGCTACTTCAGAAAGAATTTCCGTTTCATAGCAAAAATTACATTTGTGGATGTAAATCTGTCATTAGCCGACGAATAGGCCAAGGTTAAAAATAAAATTTTCAGTGTACAGATTTTTCGCTTCAGGCTGTACTTACCACATTAAAATGCACCACACGTTTAGCCGCCCGCATCCGTAAACATTTTCAAGCATTCCTTCCGCTCAATCAAGTATTTTTAAAACTACGAAACGAATTAAACCGCCAATAAGCGCTGTTAACGTCCACTCTTCATGAAAGGTCTTCGTATTTCAAGATCTCGCCCAAAAATTCCACCGTATTATAAACAGGAATGTGTTGTTGTGTCAAAATTCTGCGTTAACTCAAACTTCCTGCCTTCATTCACATGCAAAGTGTGCAAGTTTTCTCTCCCTATGTCTAAGTTATGGCGTGTCGGTGCTAGTGAGGAGTTCTGGTCTCAAATTTCTAAAAATGTTTCATGAAATCTTCCTGAAAATCTTATTACAAGAAATATTCTTAAGTCTTTTTCTTAAATCAAGCTGGGGACTTTTTTAAATCGTATTTTGTTTAATACGGGAAAATGTACACATATACCGCTTCATAGCGAGCGTGAACGAAAGTATATCTGGAAATAAAAGGATAACAAAATGTAAATTTTCGATAAAAGTGGGCATTTTCGAGACCAGATTGTAAGGGGCTTTTGGGCAGGCGAGGTTACACTTTCTAAGGGTTAGCAAGCCGATCTTAGCGAGCGGTCACGTGAGTTACGCTGAAATTAAATTCTTAGTGAAGTTAGTATTATTATTATTCTTGGTTAATTTTGCGTAAATACAAAAGGTTTTTGGTTAACTTCAGGAGCGACCACGTACAAATATTAATTGGTGTGTGAAAATTCATGGTGCAATTTCAAGAATCAAAACGTGTATTTATCGAGTGAAATCTATCCGAATAGTAGTAAAGAAATAGCAGTTTAACTTCGAGTAAAAACTTATTTAGTAGAGAGAAATCTCAAATTTGCAGTACGTCGTGGAGGAGCATTTAAACAAATTTAGATTTGTGACAAATTGCGAGTTGCCTGCAATTTTATATGTGCGAGAATAAATGAATTGCAGTAAGTAAATTACGGGACTAGAAAAAAATTTTAGCAGCCTGATTCGTAGCAAGGCCTTTACGAGTCGTAAAATATACGCGAAGGAACATCTTCGAATCGGAGAACCACTTTTCACACAAAATTGGGATTAAATAAAATGATATAAAACTCATTGTAATAAAAGTATTTCTTGCTTTTTCGAATCGCTAACAGTAACGGCCGGTTAAAAGCAAGTTCCTTAAGGTTGAGTGATGTCATTGGATAACGCATTGTGCGATAAATAAAAATTTTACAGCATACGGCAAGGAATTTAAAGACAAAAATTTTTACCCCCAAAAAAACGTAGTTAATAATTTGGGCAAACTGAATATCAACAGAGCGGAACATTGGCATTTAATTCCTTTGCATAATCACGATCTCGAGTGTTACTTAGCGTAATTGAAGCCGGTTTGTTTGGATTCGCGATTTATACGAACTTTCCGTCCGTCAAACTTTGCATTCATTACGAAGGTAACGTTACCAGGTTAGTGCAAAAAGGTTAACTGTACCATCGAAGCGATCTGTTTCCATATTTCTAAAGAAAGCGGCATTTTCCAAGGAGAGGTAAGATCAAATGTTACCAGAAGAGAATATTACCCACGTCAATAACTGTAATTTTTAATTTTTTGATTTGGATACAGTTGTAGTCGGTTATTTTTAGGAATTTCCATAAGGAATTTTGTTCGAAGTAATTTCAATATTCCTAAAAGAATCGACCCGTAAAAATTATTTGCATGGAACAGATGTTGTGTTGTATTTATTGAGAAGAATTGCACCCAAACAAAAAATTTTGGTTATTTTGTTTCATTTATTTGAAAATTCCATTTAATTTCCGTTTCAGACACCATTACTTTGGTTGGATTAAAATAGCAGTAATTTATTATGTGGTAAATATGATCGGGATCAAATGTAGCATTGACACGTGATCGCGATACAGGTATTACAATTTGTTACAAGCCAAATCGTTATTTTAAGTCAAATAATTTCGAAAGAAATATTGAATTTGATCGCCTTTGTTTTGCTTGATATATTCAATCAACCAAGTGTATATGAGTAGTTATTCGAGTTCGAGTTCAATCAATTTCAGGTTTTAAGAGGAGATAAAAAGCCAAACTTCCGCAAGGTGAGGGGTTTGGAAAGCATTGTTATTACTGAGCTATCCGTGCGTTTGAGATAAGAGGGTCACATCAATATCTCTTTTATTCGGCGAGATACGATCATTTTGTAATTTTATATCTGACATTACGATCTCTTTGGTCGCATATTCAAACTTCCAGTATCGCTTCCTGTTTAACCGGAAATCTATGCAACCTTGGTTTTTCTATATACGATATTTCAAAGAGCAATCAATTTGCTGTACGACAACATAAAATATGCATATGATGATCAATATATAAAAGGAGAAATTCGTGAATCAATAATTAGAAAATTTATTTAATCTAACATGTCGTGTGTCATATCACACAGAAAAGATCTCGGAAAAAACCTACAATAACTTGTTTATTGTTTACATAAAAAAATTAAAAAAATAAGTAGCAGGTGGCTGAAATGTTTACTATAGACTCCCTCCCTCCCCTATTGAAAGCAAAAAATAAGTTTCTCAAAAAATAGAACCGAAATGGATTCGTGTCATTTCGAGTGTCATTTTTTTGTGCCCTTTTTCGGTTCTAAGGAGCATAAGGAAGGAAGTTGCGGTCAGGAAAAGGGGGTCGTTTCGTATATGGGATTCGGCGAGCTATTTAAGTAAAAATCTGGCGGGAGAGCGGGATTCTGAATAGATAGAAGACGCGTTTATTGCGGTTTATTATAAGAGATATGTTCAGAAATATGTTTGCGCGTATCAATAAAAGAAAAATAAAACCGATATTCCCATCAACCATAATCACTGATGAAAAATAGTTACAAGTTCCAGAAAGTAATGTATTGTGGGAGAACGAGATAGTAGAAACAGCCGGAGCGGAGCTGGCAGGAAAGTCGTGAATTGCACGGTTGGTGTTGCGCCCTATGGCGAGCCCTATAGTTCTTATAAAGCGACATACGTGTGAAGTACACAATTAAGGAATATTATGCATAAAATGCTGGTTTTTATTGATTGCTCAGCTTCTAGAAATTATCGTCTTTGAGATCTGCATGGTGATTAAAGTCGTATGATTGTGTTGTGACATGCCGAACAAGACACATAAAAACCGAATCGTATTTTGTATCCTCGTTTGTATCTTTATCGAGAGCAGAATATTGGTTAATTTACAAATCTAAAGGATGTTGTCATACAACATGCACAAAGTTTGTTATTTTCTTCATTGTACAAAAAGAACAAAATTGTTTCGTGCAATAATGACTGCGTTGCAATGTGTTTGCTTTTCTGATAATTACGCCATAATTAAACGAGGTAATTCCAATTTTTTGTCTACAATCTTCAGTAAGAATTGTAAATTGTTGTTGTAAAGAAAACTCTTAAGACCACAAATGTCCTTATATTAAAGAATTTGAAATTAGTAAGTAGGTACCCCAAATTTTATTAAAATTGACTTGGCCCCACCGATTTTGAGACATTTTTCTCTGATTGATATTAATTATTATTAATAAGAGATGAATGAGAATGGTAATACTACAGGAATTCTTTAACCTCTAAAATGTGTCGTTAATCCTCTCGATTAGTTCGATTAAACCGGGAAGCTTATTAATATTCGAAAATTGTTGCTATAATGTTTAATTGCTATACAAAATAGGAAATTTAAAGAAGTTGAGAGTTCTGCAAAAGACGTTTTCTACGAAATTGTATGGAACGGACTTCGCAGATTTCAAGACTGTAACTTCACTGAAACACCACAGGAACACCCTACACCTGATTGCTTTGGAATTTAAAGGCAGGTGCAAAGTTTTGAAACAAATTGACCGCCGGGTTGGAAAGTGCGGCACGGTGCGGCATTTGATAAATGAATACATACTTAAATTTTCTTTTGTTACGGAATAATTGAGTTACAAAGATTTTAGTTTTAAAACACGCTTTGTATAAATAAACGCGAAGGAAAGAAGGGGAAATCTTCCAAATTCCACATGTAACTGGTGACAAAACTTTGGCGAAAATCCAAATACTAAAATTTTCAAACAAAGGTGAACTCACGCAGACGCCGACAGACGATACAATGAGCAAGTACTTACTAATAGTAATTACCACAAATTAGCTCTTTTCCTAAGATAACACGCTGATAATAGTAAATGAGTCACGCGTGCAACTTCAAAATGTTTACAATTATTTTCATAATTACGTGCGTGGCGCAGTTTTTTAGTAGAATTTGACCTCGCTTTTCACATTTGTACTTTCAATTATTATTAATCTTAATGATTGCATACCGTAAAAAAATTAGCCTATTTTCTCGGATAATTGCGGAGATAAAATTGTTAGTTCTTTTGTTCCCCAACTGCAGTCACACAACTTATGGAAGATGTAATTCTAAATATTTATTATTACACATATGTTAGTATGACAAAAAAGAGAAGTCTACATAAACAATATCCTGTTGTGTTACTGACAGACGGGCGGTAACTACTTTCATCTTCCTTCGCGTCTGAATCGTGTGTTACTTTTGGAAATAAGACAACTGACCTGAGTGCTATTAAAGGTGCAATTAATAATATTCCAAGTTTTAGCGGCGTCGCTGCAATTGCATCCGGGAATTCGGCAGGCGTCGGACCCTAAGGGCGCAACACTCTCCTCCACAACGGCCGGTACCGATTTTATCACAAACACGCCAATTATTAACCAAATTATTAAAGAAAAATACCACTGAACACCCATTGTGTGCACACATGCTTACACTTCTGCCACTATTTATTCATCAATTACCTATTTAGGTCACACCGACAAGTTGTCGCGACCCCATTCATCTTGGGGGATGAACCGGAAGAGTTACTTTTTCAATTGTACGAGAGCGCCGAGCCGATTTTTTTTTTCGGAGACTTGAAGCGAGCTCTCCGGAGCTTAGAAAACGACGGCAGACCGACCGGTTAGTTTGATGACGACGAGCTCGTCTACTATTATGAGAGAGAAGTAGGAGGAAGAAGACTGACTGCCTCCGAATGACTGCATCTTGTTCACTTTTTAGAGTACCGCACGCATTTATTTGGGGGTTGGGAACTTGTAGATTTAACACCCCCTATTGCGTCCCAAGGTCAGGCCTTGTTGGACACTATTTTTTTAGAAGTTCAAAGACTGGACAATGACATTTTCATCTCTTCATTTTTTGCAAATATCATTTCGCTCAAGCGTGTATCCTGGGTCTTAATTTTATTTTAATGTAGAAATTACAGTTATTCTCTTTGCGCCTCCTAAGAGTTGATTTTAAGCGGCAGGATGTGAAAGTCATTATGGAACACTTGTCATTGATTATTCCTCTTGTGTAGGTTTCATTCACTTTCTCATCTTTGCCGCCAATAAAAATCACAGTTTGGCAAATGTGCGTGATGTAAATAAAATATGTTCACAAAAATAAAGCATTTCCGTTTTAACCGGTTTTATTAAGAGGCGAGCCGATGGGCATTCGAAAATGGATACCCTTTTTTTTACCCCTGCCTTCACTACATAACTACTCGCTCTGAAAGCCTTCAAGATATTTTTAATTGCAATGATCTTTAATGTAGGTAATTAATTAATTATGGCATATTATGGTAGAGTTTCATTTGTGGATGTTTATAAGTGGTAGGCAACACACAATACATAAGTTAAGTGTCAGTGGCAGATTCAGGTATCCGACAAGCCCAAAAAGGCAAAAAGTATCCCCGCCGCAAAATAGTACCATTGAATAGTAATCATATCATGATTACTTATTCAATGATAGTACTCAATTTTGGGTACTTCCGTTCGAAGACTCTCCCCTTGGCGTAAGTGACTTATTTCGCCCCTAGGAAAAAGCCAAAATTTTATCACACAGGAGTCGTAAAAATGTCCTGGAAAATGGATAATATTGTCTAATATGTATCTCGCACGATTATGGCGTTGTGCGCGGGTGCACCATGCTGTTGAAACCAACAGAGTTTTCAACTTTGTTTTTTTTGTGCAATACATGAAATACATCGTTGTATTCGTAATAAAAAATGCTACTTAATACAGTACGTACTTTTTTTGCGGGCCATATAAAAAATTAGGTTATAGTTTCTCCGAAACGAAACGGTGTTTTGAAAATCTCTTAACACTGTCTTATAGACTTCAAATAGTTGAGCTTTGTGCGAGAGAATTCGTTTTATAGTGTTGCTCTTAAAATTTCCTTCTGAAATGTTGGTGTTAAAAACTGTTCTTAGATTTAAACTTATTCAATTTACTTATATAGGTAGCAAACGCGAAAAGCATCTAGAGAGAAGTCGTCAGCATATCAAACTCTAAACAAGAAATTTCAAAATCTTAAAATTCAAATTCTCACTTCTAAACAAATATAAAATATTTTAGAGTGACTAATACCGAAAATCAAAAACAGTAAGAGGGTTGAAGAGCCAGGAAAGCAATAATTGTAATTATGCAAAAGAATAATGTACTGTAATTTTGTATATTATTTGTTTTCTATAATTAATAATAATTTATAATGTTTAATAATTTTATTTATTCATGTTGGAACCCTCAAAAACCGAAAAAAAAACTGAAACCGGAACCGAAAATTGCTGTTACAGAACTGGAACCGTTACCGGAACCCTTCAAAAATAATTCTACCTAAATAGTGTGAAATCCCAGGCCCTGGTTTAAACGTATATATTTTTCGAACAATCGATTTCGAACTAAGTTTCGAATAATTGAATTTCGGACAATAGATTTTTGAACAATAAATTTTCGAAAATCAATTGTAAAGTTTGTAAAGGATAGAATATACTATATGTAAACGACGCGTTTCAAAATTATAAAACCTCTCCCCCCCTTGAAAATTTTTTCTGGATCCGCCACTGGTTACGGTAGATAACTCCCTTAGGGCTTAGGCTTAGACTATGGAAGGAGGGGACTCGTAATACCCAATCAAACGTAATGCTGCTGATTGAAGCAAATTTTCGCATAGAAAAAGGACTGTAGGCGGACATGTTATTGGTGGCAAACAGAGCTAAAATTTTGCTTCACTTTACGATCATCTTTTATCCTTCCTCTATCTTTCCTACTCTAAGGTTAACCACACTCTAACGGTAAGGATAAAGTGAAACAAATCATTGTGCATTCCAATGACAACTGCCATTCTTATAAATATCAAACATGCGCGACATCCACTTCTCATCTTTAGATAGCATAATATTAACTCTTAGGCACGAATAAAGTACTTGATTTTTAATTTCTTAAGTTATATACTTAAAATTTTCTTTTTAATAATTTTTCTACTATAATTCTAAGATAATCTTTTTTTTTCTTTTTTATATATAATGCGCCTTACTTTTAGTGTTGTTAGTAGATTGACCTGTAATTGGATTTATTTATATCTGCCGGTCAATAAACATTATTATTATTATTACAACGTAGCAGCCCCAGCGAACTACGTACCGCGTTTGGGAAATCCCGTTCCCGGGGGAACTTCGGGAAGTCTTTTTCATCCTAAATGCCTTCAAAGAAACTGACGTTTCAAATGTCTCTTTTCGACGATAAAACATAAAATCCTGTTTTTCTTGTTCCCGTTCCCGTAGGAATTTCGTAAAGTGTTTTACTACATTAGAAACCTTCGCGGACTTACGTAATTGATACGTTTGTATTCGTCTAGAGCCGTAGTAGATCTTTCTTTAGGACAGCTATTAGATTGTGATTTACAATGACGGAAAAGAGAAAAATTGTTTTGTTGTACGTCATTTATAGTAATATGGCGCCATCTGTTAGGTATATTGCGACATGACGAAAAAATTGTTTTTTTTACGGCTGAACAGATGATAACTAAATTTGGTACACATACTCTTAGACATAAAAGGGCTTAATCGCGCAGGTGTGCGGGTGGTAGGTATCTATGCTAGCCACAGGAAATTATTATTGATATAAATGGGACGCAGCGCACAAAATAAAATGAAGTTCAGAACAGAAGACAATATATTGATTCCATGGAAACGACGAGATAACCGTACTGTATGGTCTAAGCATTGACATATAGATTTGGATTGCGCGTGTCAATGTTAAGCGCGGATACTGCAAGTGAGAGAGAAGGGAAAACTAAGAGGCGCGCTAGTTTTCTTTATCGCGGCTCTGTTGGTCGCATGGACAGCAAAAAGCTCAAAATCAGGTGCATTGGATAGTATCTAAAGGACCTCCTTCATCATTATTCATCAGGAAGTGTTTGTGAGTCCCAGAATAAGTGTCAATCAAAAGGTAAAGTAGTGGGAAGTAGATTGTTTAGGAGTTTATCGCAGGGTTGTTTAGATTTTGTTATTTGAATTCGTGTCGAGCCCGCGAAATTAAGTCAACTATATGTAATTTAGCACAGGGTGAATTTTATGTTTTGTGTTTTTCAAATGCGCGCATAGGAGTGAAACAGGGTTAAGCCGAATTGAACACGTGTAAATTAAGGCGTAACGTTTTAAATGTGAAGTACAAAGGATAACTATTACGATAAATACGAACAATTAGCCGAAACGAAATTAAATAGTGTGAGTCTGATAACTAGAAGAATGGACTTATAATAAAACTACGCCCCTACGGACCTATGTGATATCCTACGTCAACAATCAGCGTTAGTCCGTCAGATTATGTAATTTTGAGTAATCGTGTCGGAATTTCAAAATCAAAGAAGCCATTCATTATATGAGATCTAGGGTTTTGTACCGACTGCCCTTTTCAATTAATTACCTCACCATTAGTTTAGTGTATCATACAGTAACCATATTTTTATATATTCAAAATAAAACGATTCCTTTAAGGGTGTTGCAAATTTATATCAGTTAAATAATGACGGAAGACTCTTAAAAGTTTGACAATTATTAGATAACGTGAATCCTTCAGCTGGGTTCAGTTAGTAAAAAAAGTGGCTATTTAAATTAACCTACTGTTTTTTTTCCAGCATACACTCAAATGAGCGCTTATTTCTTCGAGACTTTGTGGGATGCGTCGCTGGATCAAGTGGAGGTCGATTGGCCCAATGGTTGCAGCCGGGCAGTCGCGTGGATCCAGCTCGGTGCCAAGTGCTATATTCGCGGGAAGATCTACGTTGTGGGTGGCCAGCTATTGTTACTGTCCTGACCAGAGACCAATACTCTGACCTTGTGCACGTGCCCACGATGAAAGTATGATCTAACCAATGCTCGACCTGCAATTCATTGTGGTTTTCTACAGGTTGAAGTAAAAGCTATTCCCATTGATAAAAAGGAGCTTGGCGATCACGATTTTGGTAGGAAGATTCGTAGGGTGAGTTTACCGGACCCATTGACGTTTGGCGGGTTCCCACCACCGCCGTTGCACCACGCGTACGAGCAAACCGTTCGCGACAAGATGTGCTTTCACTCTATCACAGTTATGAAGGCGTACCAAAATTATTCTTTTGAGGAGTTAAGGTACACCTCACCACCCGTTAAGCGTTCAAGCGAGAACATGCTAGTAAGACCTAACGGCGATGGTACCTACAGCGCGACCTGGACGCCTGCGTCTGTGGGATGTTACTCAATCGTCGTTAATATCGACGGATATGACATGGAAGAGGTGACTGTTTGCGCAACTTTATCGTCCAACTTATACTTTGATTACTTTTGACAGGTTTTTAAGGTGGAAGTGAAAGAACCACCACAGGGCATGACTCCGCCCACACAAAATTTAGCCAAGAAACCCACCCATCAGCCTAGCAAACTAAGAAAGTTCGTCGCAAAAAATTCGGCTGGTTTACGGGTTAGAACTCATCCCTCTTTACAGAGTGAACAAATCGGAGTAGTGCACGTTAATGGAACTATCGCCTTTATCGACGAGGTGAGTTGGCAACTTCTCACTGATTCCACGGTGTCGTCGTGTTTCAGATACACAACGACGACGGTGTTTGGTTGCGTTTATCGCCCGAAACTATTAAACAGTATTGCACGGTTTCGGTGATTGAAGCTTGGTGCCTCCAGTACAATCAGCATTTAGGAAAAACACTCTTGCTTCCCGTGGAAGAGCCAAAGTCGATTTTAGACCAAGTTATCACTGAAACTATCATGAGGAAGCTTCCCGAAATACACGACAGGTTTTTGAGTGATGCAGGTTGAAAGGTGTTTTTGCAGATGTGTTGTAGGCGCAAGGCTTCAGCTGGATTTAGTGGCGCGTACCAAGTTATCAAGTGTGGAGCTTCGGGGCACAATGTACGAGCTAGACCCAGCTTGAAAGCCGCTCCGGTTGGTATGTTAGTTCTTGGTAACCGAATTGGTGTGACAGAGTACGTTGTAAACTGTGACGGGTGCTGGGTTCAGTTGGACCAGGCTACCAAGGAGAAGTACTGTTTTAATATCGATGGCGAAGCATGGTCTTTAGCAATGGGGCATAACAATGTTCTTTACATTGGAACACTTAGTGATATGGACAAAGGTGAGTAAGGCAAGTACTTCAAGTGTTGGTCAGCCTTCTTTGCAGATGTCGTTCCGCAACTTTGCGCCGACCAAGAATCACCTCGTGTAAACTCAAATAAACGAGGGTTCGACTTTACTCACAATTCGGTTCCTAGCACCGGTGAGTCTACTTTTTCGTTCGGGGTAGGACGTCAGCCGCTGAAAACCCCAATACCTAGCGCAGACGCCCTGGCCACCAATCCGTTTGTCTTTGGAGACAAGTCTCAAGATTCTCCCAAAGTCCCCAGAAGAGAGAAATCTAAAGATTGTAGCAAACCGAGCAGTGTTCCAAAGTGGGTTAAAATTGACGAAAGCAAAAGGTCAGTGACTAAGTAATTCATGAGACGTTTTAATGGATGTCGTTCAATAGGGAAGTGCCATCTGAATTCTCGGGCGTGTCTGTTAAAGATCTCGTTAAAGCAATTGGAGAATCGAGAGCCAATGGCAATGGTATCACTCCTCCTGAAACCCCAAAGAGGAACACCAGTCCGAGAGGAGGGGGGCATTTATCCCCAAAGGTTCCCAGTCGAAGCTCAAGTCCAGTGGCCATACCTCGTAAGGATTTTTTTTTGTAATAAAATTGCACTAAGTTGGCGTTTTAAGCACCTGCTCGTACCTTACTTCATGACAGTGGTAGTAGTAGTCCGCAAGGTTATGGTTCGCCTCGTAGCATCGGTATATCTCCCTTGGGTAAGTTTTCTATGGTTTCTGTAAGAGAAGTTTTTAAATCAGAAATTGATAGATCTCACGTTAAGGTATTTGATCTCACATAGTTACTGCGATGCCTACCCATTACCATTTCTTAATGGTGTTATAGATCAGTTATTTGAACTCCTTATTTCTATATTTGCAAGTTAAAACTAATCAAAAAACGAAAGTCCGATACAAATATGACTATGAAATGAACAAAAATTCTCAAAAAAGTGGAGTCACGCAAGGTGAAGCATATCCATTACCAATTATTATCCAGGTTATGGATAAATAAAAAATTCTTTGAACTTGTTTATCTTCCAAATAAATTAGAGAACAAAATCATTAGTCAGTCAAGCAGGCTACGTAAGGGTTAAGGAACATCAGCGGCTCTCAAACATTCTTAGGAAAATCGATTGTATTACGTGGTGCGTATCCATTACCATTTGTTAATAGTATAATAGACAAATAGAAAGGTCTCAACCTTATCAGCTCGATATGCATGTTTTGGAAACGTATTGTCAGTAATAACTAATGTTTTGTTACAGCGCGCAGGGGATCAAATCAGTCCGACACCAGCGCATTTATTAGCAGTCTCACAAGAGACTTGTCACAATCGCCTAGCCAAGCGACGCAGCCGCGCGATCTCTCCCCAAGTCCTAGTGGAAGTTCTCTGCAAACCAGATCAGATAGCAGCCCGCAACAGACGCCAAATAAACGGCAACAACCCGCTGTAATTATTTTCACTTTTCCCGAGTGGATAACCGCAATCATTTTTAGGATTTGGAACAAAGCCCGCGCAAACTAACACAGACCGGTACCCAAACTTCTCCGGAAAGTGGCAGTAACGTATCGCTTAAAGGTCATTTTTCAATTGGAGCAGCTGGCAAAGAAGACAAAATTTCACCAAAAATGTTACGCAAGGATAGAGCCCCGACTAAAGTTCGACCGAAAAGAGCAATTTCACCAGCTAATATTCAACAGACCCCGGCTAGTACAAGTAAAGTGAACTATCCGGGAAATGCGATCGTTAAGCAAGCCATGAGCCCTTCGGTGGCCGAGTCGCTTCGTGCCGTATTTGCAGCGTTTTTGTGGCACGAAGGTATAGTGCACGACGCAATGGCATGCGCTTCGTTTTTAAAATTTCATCCAAGCTTACCCAAACAAGGCGCGTTAGTTGTCACACGTGGACCTTCCGAACAGGCAATCGACAAACGTTATCAAGAACTGACAAAAGAAGAACGCGCTCGCCAGAGGCATTCTGTCGAAGTGAGCACCGCCGGTACCTACCTTCATATACAACCGTCGACTTTAGAAACGCTAACCAGATCGGCCATCAATGCCAGCGCCAATCGCAGTCGTAATAGAAAATTTCACGACGGTACCATTAAAGAGGACGCAACCGCAGATGGAGGTTATGGATATCAAACGGTTTCGGTTTTGCCACCGGCACTTAAATCATTAGTCTATCTATGGGAGGAACTCACAGCTAATTGTCTACAAGCGATGACCCAACAAATGATGATTTTGACCCCAGTTCATTCAAAGGTAAAGAAATCTGAAAAGGTTTCAGCTAGTAACTTTGACAACAAAGAAGTGAAAGAGAAAAATACCATCGCGGATAAAGAAAACAAAAAGTGCAGAAAAAAGAAAATTTTTCCACGCAATCATCTAGACGAGGTGGGCCTGTACAGCTACACAAACATGACCAATGTCGACAGGGAGACCTTTTGCGAATTATGCGGGGAATTATATCCCCATCCGGTCACCTACCACATGAGACAGGCGCACGTCGGCTGTGGATTGCATGCAGGTGGCCGCGGCTACAATTCGGGAGGAAATTATTGTCTTGGATGGGCGGGGAATTGCGGCGAAGGGGGAGTCGGTAAGTGTCACGGTTTGCGAAATCGAGTCTAAAATTTCAATTTCAGCTGGCAGTTCATGGTATCTTCTCTGCGAGACTTGCCGTGAGAAATACACAAGGGCGTACCGTAGTGGCAAACAGGGAAATCGATCCCATAAGGCGGTTATAAAACGAAAGAATACGTTTACTAAAGCAATTTCGTCACCGGGAAGTGTTAATCACATTGATACCCATATCGTAATGAAGAATAATGCAATATTCTTACTGGATCTGGCCAGTTCTGCCGACATGGGTTAGTCCGTTTCGATTGGTTCCTCTTCTTAACGTATATTGTAGGTATATCACACAGAAGAGCGTCTATGAGTACAATGCCTTCGCTTTCGGAACACAATTTACCGCCAGATTTGGGCGGCCCGTTCAGTCCTTTGCCACCGTTTCAGTGTTTACAAGCTCTCGGCGCTTTGTCTCCCTATGAAGAAACGCCCTTTTGCGATGAAGAGTTGCGACGAAAAAGTGTACAGGAGGGTTTTCTTCCTGGTCCTTCGCATGGAGTAAGGGTGAGTAAAAGGCTTCCTTTAACAACCTTTGTTAAAAAACGTTGGCAAAACTGTTAACCCGCCTAGGTTCGGCTACTTTCCACTAGGTTGCCCCTACTCGAAGGTGGGCGGGAGGTACGGGACAACCCATAACTGTGAATTGTTATAGGGTCCCTGTATTTCGGGTTTACCTATAATTCTTATTTTAACGTCATACACCTCTTTTTTGGCAGCTTCTGGTGCTTGTAACTAAAAAAGAAAGAAGCGGTTCTAATCTTAAGGGGGATTCCAGTTGTACATTGATGCCTAAAAATAGGCTACTTGAAATGTCGTTTTACCCACTTAAAATTTTTTTACAGGGCACAACCCGGGTATAAAAAAAATATATAATGTGACCAATTACATGCGCCTCACGCGATATTTAATAAAAAACGTCTTATAGCCGGGATGAGTAGGTTGTAAGGAAGATTTTAAGCCTTTGGCCGGGTTTTCAAATTCGTTCTACGCCGTTTAAAAGGAAATTTTGAAAAACGCTCAATATCGAAAGTATAGAAAAACTGCATGCAAACGTTAGGCAACACATAAAGCTAATGCATAACAATTTTTGGCACCTATAGATACTTACCCAAGTATAGTCTGACACTCAACGTTTCTTTATAATAATAAAAATGGAACCAACAACGGATATTAAACTCCATCTTTTGATAACTATAGAATCAAGTAGCTAGGTACAGTAGGATATCGTAGGAAAAACAATTTGGGATATTTTGATACCTATTGAATAGATAATTGTTGCCGTTTTCCCCAAAAACGTTTCACGTCAAATGTTTTTTTGAAGGTGTACCTATCATCTGCAGTTAGAAAATTAACTTTAAAAAAAGGTATAATTACTTTTGAGTGTGCTATTTAACAAATAAATAACTAGATATAGTCATTAGTCGGTGAAATGAATTGAATGAAAAAGGAATTAGCGCTTATTATTGTTACTACTGCACGTGCGGTTACGTTTCTTGGCGTTCGAAGACATTTAAAACTCCTATAATGCGGTATCTCTCTTAGTTCACCGCGACATCAATAAACAAGAACCCCCCTACGTCTTAGCAGAAACGTTATGTGTTAGAACGGCAAAGATATATAGCCTCACGAGCAATAAGCGGTAATCCGTTATTGACATTCATCGACATATAGGCATTCAAGTACAACATAAGATCAATTTGATACATTTTTCAGCAAATAAATACATGATTCTCAAAAAGACCAATTGAAAGTCGCATTTCGAAAGAGGTCTTCCTTCAAAAAGAATCCTTCCGAAGTATTCAAAAAACCCCTGGAAGTATACAAAAAATATAAATAAATAAAAATAAAATTTGAATTTGAATGTTTGAAAATTGTTTGAGTTAGAAAATGTTCGAATAATAATTTGATCACATCTACACGGACAGTAGATACCTATTAATTACATTCCAATTATCAAATGTAACCATCATGACAGTGGCGTATTTACGGGGGGGATGAATGGGATATATCCCCCCCAGAAGAATTGAGTTATCATCATAGCTATTAGGTATTTAGGTAATACTCCGCTATCCGCTCCGCCCAATTTAAAATAAAGGCAATAATATATAGGTATATATATATATATAGAGAGCAATTTTGGTTTTGGCTAAAGTCTAAAGTCACTAAAATCTAAATATTCTGTAGTATTCAGTATTCACTATTCAGTGAGTGATCAATGTTGGCAGTCAACGATTTGGCTATTCGGCATCGATCGGCAATTCGCTACATTGATGCCCAAAATAACAAATAGGTATCAGGTACTTAGTACTGCTACTGAGGTGAGGTACCTGCGTCCTGCCTTTCACGAAATGACGAAAATAAGAATTTTAAATTTTAAAAACAGAAATTTTTTGCCCATAACTTTTCATCGAGACGTCTAATCGAAAAAGTACGAATGGTTTTGGATTCTACGCACCCAAATTAATAAGAAAAAGTTTTTTCCCGAGAAATTTTGGTGCAGTCGATTTTTGGTAAAAAAGGAAGGTTATACTCTGCCTTTTTTTGAGGCCCTCAAAAAAAATTGTCTCAGATCGACCGGAAAAAAATATTTTCTTATAGAATGTAGCCTGTAGAATCCATAATTTCAAACAGTTCCAAGATCGGACTACTAGATCAAAAGTTACAGCCCTTTGAATTTTTTGTCGAAATTGGTTTGCCCATAACTTTTGATTGAGACGTCTAATCGAAAAAGTACGAATCGTTTTGGATTCTACGCACCCAAATTAAATAAGAAAAAGTTTTTCCCGAGACAATTTTGGTGCAGTCGATGTTTGGAAAAAGGAGGTTAACACACTCCCTTTTTTGAGCCCCTCAAAAAAAAAATTGTCTCACGCCGGAAAAAAAATTTTTCTTAATAGAATGTGCCTGTAGAATCATAACTGTATGTGGCACGAACGAACTTGTAATCCCCCCCCCCCTCCCCAGAATAAATTTCTACGTACGCCACTGTGATGTTATTTGTATAATTATAGTTTATTAATGACTATTTGACCTTCAACAATTGTAGGCATCCTAAAAGTTGAATATGCAAGCAGGTATAGGTAATTAACGTTTCTCTGTCTTGGTTTCGATGGGCGGAGGTTTTACCAAATGCCACTAACATAAAATAGTTATGCAACTTGTCATACTTCAATCTCCAAGATAAATCTACTACCATTGAATAAGCACCTTTGCTTATTCAATGCTACTACCACAGATTTAAAAACTCATATCTGTGCTACTACTTAACTCCTGCCTGGCTCGTTTATACTTTTTAAACGAACTTGAGTCTATTTTTATGCTTATTACAAAATCATCTCACATTACATCTGTTTATACAGCCACTTTCCGAAGTATCACTATCCGATAATGACATGGACGGTATGAAAGGCTTGAGATTTCACCGGTCTGTCTCAATGGGCACCAATGGAGCACCTTGGGCAAAAACGGGATACGACGGAAGAATAATTATGATGCGCAAGCGCAACAACAGCAGCAGCGAAATGATTAGCGGTAAATTCAAGTTTTTTTTAAAGGCCAATGTCACTCACACTTCCCCACAGAAGGGGGATCTTCTTTACTTTGCAACCCCTCATCTACACTGCAAAAACTCGTCCCAAATATCGACAGCTCTTCAATCGTGGCCAATGCCCAATTAAATTCTCAAAGTCGGCAGGAGAAATTGTCGTTACTGCAAAGACCAGTCATGCTGTTTATATTACAACAGCACGACTTAGATTCCTTGCAGCTCGCAATGAAGCAAGCTTTAAGAAAGGCAATGTGTAGAGTTTACGCGATGCAAGCGCTCAATTGGCTCTTAAGATCCGTGACACAGCCAGTTTGTCTGCACGATTTACTGTGGTGGTTCGTCACCTCACTCTCGCCCCTTGATCTCGACTCCGAATGCGAAGATGACAATAAACCTCATAGGAAGCTGGACGATCAGGTATTCCATCACCTCGCTTACCTCAAACTCTGAGAACTATGTTTAGGATCTGAACGTTTGCGAGCACCCCCTTTCTGACATAACGATAGCGGGCGAAGCAGTCAATCCGCTTCCATCGACGTTTCACGGACTTCTGCAAACCATCGCGGATCTCATGGTACTTCTTCCTATGGGGTCCGCCTTACAGCAAATGGCGGTTAGATGCTGGGGTTTGCGATTTATGTCGGCGGACCATTCTTTCTTGCACAGATCTCAGGTAAGACCTGATGCCGACTTTATTTAGCAAATCTGAGTCTTCTTGTAGGTGTTCAGCAATATCAGCAAAATTTTATCGCGAAGTGAAGAGCTGGAAGATTGCACAATATCGATGCAGGATAGTCACCAAGGGAACTTGAATCAGGTAAGCGATTACACTGTTTTCACTTTAGAAAATCTTCTTTAGCAGCTAGCGTGTACAGTTGAGGGTTTAAAAGATCTCACTTCCGCCATCGAAATTAAAGCATCCAGTCGACAAGCGATGGTCGGCAGTCTAACCGATAGCTCTACCGAAACGTTTTGGGAGTCGGGAGATGAAGACCGAAATAAAACCAAGAGTCTGATAGTCGTTTGTGCTCAAAACCATCATCCGAAAATGGTATGTGTTCACATCGACAATTGCAGGGATCTTGCGGTAAGTCAGGTATTCACAAGGTGTTTGTTTCACAATTCAATTTTAGAATAAGGTTTCGAGCGTTGCGTTTTCTTCTGGTCCCAATTCCGACGATTTTGTCAGATTGAGGACAATCGAAGTTGAAACTCGCCTGCTCGGCGGTTGGATTAGTTGCGCCATTCAAGGTACACTCAAATCGTGTTTTATGTTATTAATCTTAGATGTTCAAGCAGATGTCGATCATACCGTTATACGTATAGAACTAAAGGGGCCAGATAATTCAGTGAGGGTTCGTCAAATACAAGTGCTGGGTGAAGTTACCGGTGAATCGTTGAAGTTGGGAAAACAGTACAGCGCGCTAACGATACAACAACGAAATTGCGAAAGCGAAACTCTGAGAGTGTTCCGTCTGATTACTTCGCAAGTGTTTGGCAAACTCATTGTTGGTGATATGGAGGGGCACAATTTGAATAACTTGGATAGTGGTTCCGGTTCGGCCAGTGATGGTTTGGAACCGATTGAGGAGAGTAACGATTTAAGGGAACACATGGTGGGTATATTATTCAGCAGAAGTAAATTGACACATCTCCAAAAACAGGTAAGACTACGTTACAGTTCAAAGTGTAAATAATAGAATGTTACCAATTAGGTAATAGTGCACATAGTCCAAGCAATCCGCAAAGAAACTGCGCGAGTACGCGACGAATGGGAATCATTCCTTTGCTCGGCAACAGCCGGCTCGGCGAGTTCTGGGCAAAGTTTAGACGCGGCGAAGAATTCAGATAACTACTGCTTTGAAATGCTGTCAATGGTTTTGGCCCTATCAGGAAGTTCAGTTGGTCGCACCTACTTGTCTCATCAAGGAGATCTTCTGGGTGACATATTAAGCTTGCTGCACACTGGCAGCGCTCGGGTTCAAAGACAGGTATGTGCCATATCGCAAAATCATTTGTAACTTAACTTGGGCGGTAGGTAACCGCGCTACTTCGAAGAATTTTGCCGGAAATCACACCTGAATTTTTTGCGAAAATTGTGGGTGTCACCCATCTACCCCCTAAAGATTTTAGTATCGTTTCTGTTGCAAATAAAGGTGCGAACGGGGGAGGATTTGACATACACAGGTTATAAGGAGAATGTTAATAAGTGCGCTTATTAACAATTTTTAGGATTGGTATGCTGGATGTGTTTCTTAGCATAATCGGGAAGGCGCTCACAGTTCAAGTGAAAATGAAGAGTAAATCCGCAAACGGAGGGCCCGCCAAAGAAATTAGCACGGTTACTTTAGCTACTTCTATGCAAGGGAAGGAGCACCGCGGCCGTTGGTGGTTGAGAGGAACGACTAGCCGAAAGTTAGCCGAAGTTATAGTGCATTTGCTTAAAGATATGGCTGCAGTAAGTTAATAATGCTAAAAGAAAAAGCAGTTTGAGTTTATTTCTTATTTTAGGGAAAACTGTCAGAACCTTGGGCTAATGTGACAAAAGGAGCGATAGCAGAAAATATTCTAAACCTAACTCACCTAACTGACGAACAGAGAGTTCCCACCACATGTCTGCACACCCCCACTCTATGGTTGGCGCTGGCGTCCTTGTGCGTTTTAGACAAAGATCATGTGGAAAGGCTCTCTTCTGGTAATGCCTTTTACTTACAGATCGCTAGGTAAGATTCTCGTGATTTGCAGGTCAGTGGAGTAACGCTGATGGACAAGCAGTACCTCCAGGTCCCACCTGTACAAATCACGACGATGGCGAAACCAACGCAATTATACAGTGCAATACCTGTGGAAATTTATGCGCCGACTGCGACCGTTTCTTGCACTTACATCGCAAGACAAGAATGCACCAAAGACAGGTACACATTTAATGGCACTCTCACTGAGAAATGTTTTTGCATGTGCTTTCTCTAATGGAAACAATCGCAAAAAACCATACAATATTTTTAAAATAGTAGCTTAAATTTAAAAAAGAAAGAGGGACTACTTTCTCTCTCACAACCACCCCTTCTTTTTGTCGTGAAAAAAAAAAGCGCGCGCCTGGGGAGTTCGAACCCGCGTCTTCATAATCTATAGGCAGTTTCAGTGCAGTTTTCATTCTCACTATGCATCTGTTCTAACTCACCACTTCGTTTATAGGTGTGTAAGGAGGAGGAAGAAGCCATCAAAGTTGAACTGCACGAAGGATGCGGACGCACCAAGCTATTTTGGTTGCTAGCATTAGCAGACGCGAGAACGCTTAAGGCTTTAATCGAGTACAGAGAGGGAAGCACAAGAACTCGAGGTTCGGCCACCAGCGGCGTGTGCAGATTTTGCGGTGCCACTGGTAATTCTGGATTGCTCGCGATTGGAAACGTGTGCGCGGACCAGGAGTGCCAGGTATTACATTTTCTACTTAAGGATTAGAGTCTCTCTACTTGTCATTATCAGGAGTACGCCCGTACTGCTTGCACAAAGCTTTTAAATTGCGGTCACATGTGCGGAGGCGTGCAAGGGGAATCAACTTGCCTGCTATGTCTCCACGGATGCTCTTCGGATTCCTCATTGAGACAAGACGCAGACGACATGTGTATGATATGCTTTACCGAGGCGTTGTCGTGCGCACCTGCGATACAGGTTAGCGGTTTGTTGAATTACAAGCTTTCATTGGCATTTGTAGCTTAAATGTGGACACGTATTCCATTTGCATTGTTCAAAAGCGGCACTTATGAAAAGGTGGGCGGGGCCTAGGATTACGTTCTCCTTCGCTTTGTGTCCCATTTGCAAGGTAATGGAGCGCCAAACGCCAATTTCTTTCTACTTTAGCGATTTCTAGGACAACATCGATCATGTTATGCTAATCGATCTATTAACACCAGTTCATGAATTGTACAAAGATGTCCGAAGAAAAGCACTGATGCGGCTTGAATACGAAGGGTTGCATACGGTTGAGGCGATTACAGCGCCCGGAACTCGGTACTACAATGATCCCGCGGCCTATGCAATGGACCGTTATGCGTACTATGTTTGTTACAAGTGTAGTAAGGTAAAGTGTGTCCATCACGTGCTGATCAATAATAATAGTGAACTTTTAATAGGCGTATTACGGCGGTGAAGCTCGTTGCGACGCAGAAGTAGGTGAAAACTACGACCCAACGGAATTAGTCTGTGGCGCATGCTCAGATGTGGCACGCGCGCAAATGTGCCCCAAGCATGGCACCGACTTTCTCGAATATAAGTGCAGGTACTGTTGTTCTGTAGCCGTGTTCTTCTGCTTTGGCACTACGCACTTTTGTAATCCTTGCCATGATGATTTCCAACGAGTTACAAATTTGCCTAAAAATGAGCTACCCATTTGCCCTGCGGGTAAAGTTTTGAATTAACATTTGCTACCGTTTTTATTACCGCTCTTCACTGCAGGTCCAAAGGCTAAACAATTGGAAGGTGACGAATGCCCGCTACATGTCAAGCATCCTCCCACAGGGGAAGAGTTCGCTCTGGGTTGTGGAGTTTGTCGAAATGCACATACCTTTTAATTGTGCCTTGAATGTACAAACTCATATTTTGTCATCCCGAAATAATGTTTTATTCCAAAAGTTATGAATGTGTAGGTTTGTAGGTATGCATTACCATGGAGTAAATAATTACTCTATGGTATTACTGTTCTTAATTGTGTACGTTTAATAAATATGTGACTCGTGCTAGTTTAACTATTTTGTGTACACATAACCACAAATGCAATAAATGGGGGGTTCACATTTAGGGGTCAACCAACCCAGTCTGTGATAGGAATGACAGAACTGGACGGAACAATGGCCCCCTAAATATCTCAGAGCTGTAATATTTAGCTACCTCACTAACAGGTCCAACGATATGAATTGCCTATAATAGGTTTGTAGTAAATGGGGTGTGCCATACGGGTCAGTGCGTGGGCCACTACTAAGGAATGTGGTATATTTTTATGGGGAGTTTCTAATCTGCGGAATACAAAATTAACTTTCCCAGTTAAGTCTCATTTATATATAAATATACATACAGTAAAATAAGTTAGTAGAAAATTTACAAATGGCCGTATTGTCTTAAGGGTTCCTTCTTTTAAAACTAAACATCTTAAACCAATGGAAAACAAAATGAGCTCTTAACGACAATATGAAATTATTACAGTATCTTTAAGACAGGTACCCGATTTACGGAGTTTTAAAAAAAACCACTACAATAATCATCAAATGTTATACGCTACCTCTTTCTTTATCCTTTCTCCTCCCATAGAAATTGTATGGATTCTGGGGACTGTGTATGTGAAATCGGGAAATGGACAATGGCACAACAAAATGTAGAGAAGAAATTGCCTTACGTTACGTCTCGCCCAGATCCGAAGAAATCTCTATTAAATTTAGACGATGTTAGCTTTTCTGATGTAAAGGTGATTTTGGTTGATAATGTAAATATGGCCATGAGTATGAGAATTTGTAAACAACAGCGCACTCCCAAATACGTAGATTTCATGCGACGCCTCTTCATAACGGAATCGTCATAGCCCAAAGGCGCACTTATTCGAATACAATGTCTTTTCCACCGCGGGAAATTACCAATGCGCGTACGGCAATGAACTAAGTGTATTTTTACTCCATGCTGAGTATTGTTCAACCACAATAATAAGAATAAAACGCTAGAACTTTTGATCCACGGTACGATTTTCAATTTTCTCGGCGATTTGAATTCTATACACCAAAATCCGCAGCGCCGTGTTTCAACTGCGGGAACACCGGGCACTAGAAGCTGAACAGGGGAGGTGCAATTCATACTGCCACAACACCGCGAGGACTGTGAGCTTCATGCTTTAACCGTATAACTATTAAATTTCGATGTTAGGTGTCATTTAAAATTGCCATTTTCCACAAAAACTGTTGACACTATGAATGTTTGACGTTTCTAAGGTACATACAGAATTTCGTTTCGAGCATTTTAATAATATTAATTTCATAATTAATTTTTCAATACTATATCTTTGCTAAGGCAGGTACATTATGATTCTTACAAATTTTGCTTACAGTTAAAATATCGCATAATGTACCGAGTGACCCAATAAGACTGTTCCTCGGCCAAATCTCGAGAACCGTTCGTCATATGACTTAGGGGTAAAAAAAATTATTATTGGGTAAATCGGTCATGGGGAATCGCAGAAAAATATTTTCAAGTTCTAAAAATGACCAACAGAGGGCTTAACTGCCATCTTAAATTTTAAAATTGCATTTTCTTTAAATTTCGCATAATAAACGAAAAAAAATTTTTTCATATTTTAAATGTGATCTCGATCGTAAATATCGATTTTTACGATCATTTCCGTAAAAAGAAAAACTCGGTTATTTCAAAAACAAAGATGGTGTGGGGCGTTCAATTGTTTTTGCAATAACCTGCTTTAACTTTGTAACAAATTTGGTATCGTTGAAAACAGCATTCCTTGGGCAATGAGAATCAACCAAAATATAGTTAATTTAGTCGAATCCTTCTCTGCTAGTTTTGACACTATGGCCCAAAATCCTAAAAAAATCAAATGGAATGATATGACTTTGTCTTTATGAAAAAGTAGCCAAATAACATTCAAAGCGGCCAGTGAATACAGTTTTTCAAAATCACGTTCCTACCCTCAAATATTGGGAAAATGAGATTAATTAATTAATTCATAAAAATGCTTAAATTGTATCTTAAATTTACTTTTTACGTATTCCGGTATTTGTCGATGGCGCGAAAGAAAAGCACCCTACACTTTTAGGTAGGCCTTGGAAAATTAAACAAATGAAACACGATGCATTATAAAATATAAACAGCCGTAATTTGTAAATTATTCTGCAGTGTTTACATTCAGAAAGTGCAGTTTTTTGAATTTGTAATCTTTTCTGAAATCGGCGATGGTTCGTGGTCGATTCGGATAACGCAAATAGAAGATGCGGGCAGCGATGGTCGCCTTTTGAAAATACTCAAAATATATCGCCAGCATATTAAATGCTTCTTGGTTAAATTGGCATTAATTAAATTTCTGGACTGCAGTTATGGATGGTGTCCGCCGCATGCGTATCACATTTCTACATGTGTTGGCAAGTGATAGCCGCCGTTATGGACCCATTCGATAATGTTAAAGGTTGTTTACAAGTGTTTAAAATGCTCCCTCCGATCGCAAGTGGCGCCAACTGTGTAGTACCCGGTGTGATAACAAGTCGCTCTTTAATCGCGAGGATAAAGTGAAACAGATGATTATGCATTCTAATGACATGTCATTCTTGTTTCAAACGGGACGTGAAGCACTATACAAAATCACAATGGGCGCGTTCACCAGACGAAGCGCTTCATGAGCGCTATCTAAAGGCGGAAATACTCTGACAAGGTTTCTCGCGCTAGTTGCTATCTGATAATAATAATAAATTACTTTAATATACAATTAGCACTGTCAAGATGTAAAAACCAATGTACGTCCAACTTACTGTAGTGTGTACACTTCGACAGTGCTATCAGACAGCAACTAGTGCGAGAAACCTTGCTAGAGTATTCTCAAATTTAGGTAGCGCTTCGTCTGGTGAACGCACCCAATGCAACCCATTTGCAATGTGTTTGTTTACATATCAATATTGCTAAAAAATGTTTTTGAGGAACCATGCATGCAATAAGCCTATGTTCCACAATCATTAACCAAGAAAGAACCACAATCAGTAACCAAAAGAAAGAAGAGGCATGTCTTTCTATACCACATTTAAATCGACACAATTGAAACTGAACGCCCACCCGTTTTTAAAATTCTAATCTAATATGTTCCACTTACAATAAAAAATCCAACAAACTTTATTCATAAATAAAACAAAAATTAAACCTATTAGCTTAAAAAAATACTGTACATACAAAATGTACTAATATCAATGGGGTGATTTCCAAATCAGGCATACATATATTTACATTTCTGGGACAGATATCAAAATTTTATACACAAACTGCACAAGATTAAGAGGACTTTGAAATTAAAGAAATTGAGGAAATAATTTATTCTCATTTATTTCCAATCAAATAATCAACAGAAAACAACCTAAATCGACAGCATTCAGAGTTCATTGTTTTGCTATTAAGGCCTATCCATCTGTACATAACAATGGCGTACCACACTGTAATATGAGCTTTGCAATATTTATTTTATATGTAAATAAACTAACGCATTAAGGCAGACAAACAATGTTTGCAAATATATCTAGTTGATCAGACAGACACCTGGCATACAGCAATTGCATATCCGAATAACTGTTAAAATAAATAATTTAAGGAATACAGCTCTACTTTTATTTTTTTTTTCCTTTTGTTCATAATATGTTCTTATGTATGAAAGCAGTGTTACTACAATCTTGAACCCTTTGCAATTTTTTTTCTTCGTTATACTGATAACTTTTTATACAACAGTCTTTACAATGTGATAATATAAATTTAAATATAGCCCCATGCAAACACGTGTAATTGGGACAAGTGCGAATATAAAATAAAAAATCTACTAAACTTTAATACTAGATTAATGTTCGTTACTTATTCAAATATAGTAAGTGAAATTCGTTCTCAGACACCATGTAAAAATATAAAAAGTTTACCTATATCGCATCACGTTGTATTAAGCCAATTTTGATTGCGAAACTGATTAACGAAATTAAATAATTGGCATTTTGATTAGCCGATTTGGCCTATTATAATGTGCGACTGTTTGGCACATACGATCTTAACTTAAAACTCCAAATGATATGCATTATGGCATTTCTCTTAGATATAAGTCACAACATTAATTTAAACTAGCGTGCAAATATTCTTGCGACTCACCCCACATTTATTAATTCGTATATAAAAATATTTAGATTTAACAATGTGAAACGTACAAATTGAAGTTTGACATGAGGCTATTCTTTAAATACGTGGTGGTTTTCGTATGATCCATGCTGCGGATCACAGAAATTGCTATTCACTAAATTAATCACTGTTCTTATATACAATTTTTTTACACTTTCAAGATGTACACATTTAACGATATAGAATTTGACACTGAGTACAACAAGAAATATAATTCTACCAATCATTTGGTGTTACTTAAATGAGGAATTTTTCAATATAAAAAAGCTCGGATTGTATACGACATGAAACGATAACTTTTTTAAGACTGTAAAACGATTAAAATATTACACAGAACACCACTTCGTCATTGGAAGCACTGTAATTATAAAAACAAATTGAGTGTATTTTGGTTGTGTGTCAAAATCTGGGTGAATTTTATAGCCAGTTAGTTGCGAAAATTAAATATCACTATAACTCGAAGTAATTCAAACAAAACACATGCGCCGGAATATAAATGTACAGTAGAATCAAGCATAAACATAACATACATCTTTGATCGACTAGAATATAATATTAAATTAAACGAATAATTTAAACTTGAAGGCTACTTAAACATTAATTAGAAAATACTAAATTAAAAACTAAACACTAGGATAACTTCTCAAAACAAATAGCAAAATGAAAACACATTCTATTAAAACCTTAAAACGAATCTAGTATTAAAAAATATGACAATATATCATCTCCTCTTAGTCGACAGATAATCACACTCGAAAAAGTCTTAAAAGAAGATTTACAGATAGCGGATAACAAATTCAGGGGAAGAAAGAAAAAAATAATAAAACGCGAGGTGGCCAAAGCGTCACGTTCTATTAGTTAACTCGTATACCTACGGCGCGAATTCTCACTCTAAGTCAGTCTACAAAATGCCTCAAAAAAGCCCGCAAGCACTCGCACAAACATCAAAATTAGCAACAATGCGCGTCCTGTTCCGTATCACCTCAATTATCACTCGCTTTATAGTCAATTCGGGGCCTCAAATCGGATCACAGTACAAAATTCGAGACAAGACAAGATGTTTATAATCGCAGGGGGCTGATAATCAAATTTTTAATATGCCACAATATAAATGTTTTTACGGTTAGTTGTTGATATTTCGCATACCACAATGCACCAAGTTGGGACTGATATTTTTAAGTACATTTATTACTTTTGGTTATTGGTTAGTGTTGCACTCGAAGCTTTAAAAGCATTGTTCTGGTTTACTAAGCGAGTTTTTGTGTAGTTAAATGCCATCTAAAATTATGCTATAAACATCTAATTGGATACTTTACGGACTTGAAAAAAATCAGATTTTTAGGCCGATCATGAAGATATGATTCTAGATTTTTGTCGTGAGACACTTTGTGGCACGGTAGGTAATGCCAAATTCTAAAGTAGTCTGTTGTACGCAGACCAAAAGATAAAACTTGCTATCACAATCAAACCCCCTTATTTCGCCTAGGGATCGAGGAGCGTTCACTACATCTATTCGAGTTTATTCTTACAATCTGAAATTCAAAATATATACAATATAAAAGTTATAGTCAAGATTTCTTGAAGCCAAATGAATATGACACGCATTAATAATAAGCATAACTTTCGACATATCTCAGACAAAAATGGAATGCAAGCACGATATAAATATATTTTGGATAAAATATACGCAACGCGACGGTTTGGCCATCTCTGTCGGGCGTAATCGAAACAACAAGCGTTGGAAATGTTTCAGCTGCATAAAAAATAGTAACACCCTAACCCTGCATAAGAACATATACATCATTAATTAATAATAATAATAATAACAATAGTTACAGAAATTTGCACACAAAAGTAACCGTAATTGTAAGATAAATATACATATAAATGTGCTATAAAACACACCCAACATGTGCAAACGTACAATTTGCATGTTGTTGCCATTATATAAAACATAATCGCCCATACGACCGTTTTTTTTTGTTTAAATCGATGCATGCCCAATCATATGAGAAATTTGAAATCCCATCAAAGTAACAATATTAACTTTTAATCAGCTAACAGTCTTAAAATAACCTAATATATACTGATAACTGAAAGTATTTGCACGTCCAGTTGCTCGGGTTACGTCTTTTAACAATATTTACACAATGAAGTTTCGTTCACAAGGCAAAATTAAGAATTTTTATATACATACACAGCCTATCAGTTACTCACATTTAAATAAGTATTTGTCATATTTCGTCAAACTCCGTTACCAATTTCTCTCTACGCGCGAAGAAAAAATGAGGGATGTTATTCTGTGGTAACCTACCCAAGCAACCGGATCGATCAAAACTATAATTTAAAAACCCAACAGCAGCATACACTAACCTACACTCCCTTATACAGCTTATATATTACGGTAATTATTTGTCAAAAATAACTTTGCTATAACATTAGTCTGTACAACACCCTTAGATGAACTGCTCGGAAATTACAAACACGCGCTACCCGCCCGTCAGCATTAGAAAATGTCTTACTGGTCCTAAAATACACGAGTAATGTGCCAGATATGAAACCAAAGCATGATAATTTCCTCGAGCACCAATAATAATATTAAATTTGACAGGACCGCAAGTCACCAAGTAGCGGCGAAACTGTCAGCAACAAGCTTTAAAAGCGACTGCTATTATTTTACTGCTGTTATATACGCGTCAACTGAAGGCAATGGAGTGAGTCGTACAGTCAAGGGCCTATCACAGACGCACGCGCGAGCTAACCATAAGTAGAACCACCCATCGACTACTTATCATTTTACAGTACTAAAATCCCTTTAAAACGTATGAAAATTCAACAGTATGTATCTCGAGCTAGGAACATGACTCGCACGAAATTAAGTGAAATCATAAAGTACATGTACACGTAAATGCCAAAAAATTCGGACAGTAGTATTTCGAGTCCAGGCAATGTCACACCCACGATTCACTTATGTTATGGCCAATGACAGTGTCGTCAAGTTTATATATACCTAACATTAATATATGAAAACCTCATACAGCACTGCTCCACATTGCTTGCAGCACATACACTGCACCGGTTGGTAACCTGTGCTACTTGGGCGAACGAGACGGTACAAAGTCGCGCAATTGAGAGGTTCTCTGCTCTGGTCTTCTGCGTTGTAGACCGGATCTGTCGTATGTGGTTTTCGTTCCGTTCCTAGACGACCCGTGACGAGACTGGCTCGACCCCTCCCTTTGCTGACCAACATCTAATTAACAAACCAACATTAATATTATATTACCTTACAACAATGAAGTCAAGTGCCAGAAAACTGTTTTCTCAGTTTTGAATTCATATATCCGCTTTACATTTTAGTCTTAAGTCAGCACTAGAGGGTTCGCGCCCATGCCTTTGCTCACATTGTTAATGCATGCGAGTTGGGTATCTCAAAAGAGTCTCAAGGTTAAAAATGACAATATCATTATAACTTTGCCAAACAGCACCAATTTGAACAAAGATTTGGATTTAGGTTCTACTTACCCTCTATGTCAAAGTTGATCCTGTGGGTTTCCTTTTATTGTTAGAGGTGAAAACTACTATTCCTCCACAAATGTATGTAGTATTTTATATTTTTATAACTTGCAAGAAGTTCGTTCCTTGTAATCAAGTCCCTAGAGGCTAGAGCTATTCTCATGTGATTAAGAGAGGGTAACCCTGATTTGAATTTGTATTTGATTGTTTTTGTTATTAACGTTTTTTATTAAATTTCACTCTCCCCATTTCTTGCGTTTTATTTATGTTGGCCGAACCTTAGAGTGACACACAAACATCCCCAAACTTGTTTCACAACACTATGTAGATCGTTCACTAAACAGATTTGACACTTGACGATCATGTGCCATGGGTTTCGGTTAGTTAGGGGGAGGGTAACATAGAAAACATATAGTACGTACATAAAAACCACGAGAAAACGTAACAAAAATTAAATGTTTCATTTTTATTGTTTCCCTTGGTGTGGAGACCAGTGGATACTAATTAGGCCAGTCAAATTAGGAAAAATAGCGGAAATAATTGAAAGAAAGCTGAAAATTGGTATAGAGGTACATTAGGGCTTGTATTCGAACATACTAAAAGTCGGGACCAAAACTCCAATGGCTCGAGCCGCCATCTTGGAAAAAAGGTGCTCCAAATCACTTTTTCGCTGATATCTCGGTAACCGTGCATTCTAGTAGTTTTATATGAAAAAAGAAAGATAATAAAATTTTGTATAAAAAAGATGGTACGCACTTTTTTGTATTTTCGTTATTTACGTCGATATTCCACATTGAATATAGAGCATAATCTTTTTTTCAGATGTAGGTGCATTACTTTCAGCGCTCGCGTGCTTTAAACATATGTTTAAAAAATTGACTGACATTGTTAAGGCCTGTTGACCATCTAAGAGAAGGAAATAATACATAATAATATATAGCCGAATACAAAAGATACCTACATAAGGAAACTAAGAAAAATAAATATTGTTTGAACTACTTGTAATGGATATGGGGCATTTACAAAAAAAATATATATCAAACTTGACTTCATTTCATAAAAAAATACTAAAAATAATAAACTAAACTAATTCCATTAACAATTCGCGAAATATGTAGTACATAGCGCTGTTCCAATATCCACACCTGAACTTTTTTCGTGAAAGCGGTATAGGTAGATATCTTTTTCATTTCGCGCGGTAGAATGGAATAAAGCCTTGGAGCAATGTATGAGCACATCGTTTACCGATTGTTTTTTCAGACCTTGGAAAAAGTATATTATTATGGTCTTCCTGGCGTGTATAATGAGAGTGCATGCTGGGCGCTAATTTCGGATGTTTTTCTGAACTGGAGGATTTTGTTACAGTAAAGTTGGCGTAAATTCATTACATTTGATGCCTTATACAGAGTGGTGCCTAGCGCAACGCAGCACAGGGATGTCAATGGTCATTTCTTTATAGTCAATTACTAGCTCCCCTAATTATTTTAGAGCAAAAGTCTAAAGAAGTTATTTTAGAGAAAAAAAATACTGCAACTGTTCATACGATTACTTATAATTTTCCGTTTTTCAAAACCGTAGAAATTAACAAAATAAAAAGGTTCATTTTTCAATAAAACAGATATGCTTGAAATTACCTAAAAAATCAGCGATCACGTTTCATTATTTGCCTTTGACGTTTATTAAATTTATACTTGTTTATAAATTAGTTAATCATAAAATTGTTTATCAGGTATTTAACTGACGAGAAATGTTAAAGTTAAAGTTGCTGGAAAGAATGCCCGCCAAGTAACGTGTGTATTTAGTGTTAATGTTAAGTAACCCAATTGGCCGATTCCAAGCAGTAGGTAGGTACAAGATTACAGAATTAAATATAAAAATCGTTGGACGTCAAACAACGATATCTTACATGCGATGCGCTTGTAGTAAAAGATTCCCAAGCATTACTGATTTATAAAAATGTAATTTTTTATTTTGTCGATTTCTACGATTTTGAAAAACGGAAAGTTATAAGTAATATGAAAGAGAGGTACTCTTTGGTAATAGTATGAACAGATGCAGTATTTTTTTCTCTACAAAAACTTCTTTAGACTTTTGCTCTAAAATAATTAGGGGAGCTAGTAATTGACTATAAAGAAATTACCATTGACATCCCTGTGCTGCGTCGTGCTAGGCACCACCCTGTATAAGGATTCACTAGCATAAAATTCCCCCAGCCAACAATTCCATACATAAACAGTGATTGTACGTGTATTAACGAGAAATACAAATCACACATCTGTTGAGTGAGTATGATATGTCGTAAGTGTTTAATTTTAGATAAAACTGCCCTCCTCTTCACTGGTCAACAGGCCCTAAAATGTCAACTAAATCAATTTTTTTAACATATTCATGTTTAAAGCACGCGAGTGCTGAAAGTAATGCACCTACATCTGAAAAAAGAGTATGCTCTATATTCAATGTGGAATATCGACGTAAATATCGAAAATACAAAAAAGTGCATACCATCTTTTTTATACAAAATTTTATTATCTTTCTTTTTTTATATGAAACTTTACTTGCTAGAATGCACGGTTACCGAGATATCAGCGAAAAAGTGATTTGGAGCACCTTTTTACCAAGATGGCGGCTCGAGCTCTAGGAGTTTCGGCCCCGACTTTTAGTATGTTCGAATACAAGCCCTAATGTATCTCTATACCAATTTTCAGCTTTCTTTCAATTACTTCCGCTATTCGTGGAAATTTGATCTTTTTTGACTGTACTAAATGGGTTCCGTGTGCTGGTATGATCTGAAGGACGTATTATCGTTTCCATGTGATTTTTATCGCATTAATTACAAATAATTCAATATATAGGGTAGGGTTCTGTACAATTTCTTTGTGTGCGGGCGGAGAGGATCTGACACTGCGGTCCCTTTACGAAAAGGAACAATGTACAAATATTTTCGACGAAACGGAACGATATTGTAATATTTTTTACCAACCGGAACGCTTTCCGGCTCGTTCCGGTCCATTCCGAGCCCTGTTTGTAATGACTCCTGTCATAACTGACAGATTGACATCAGTCAAATATTCTGTATGAAATTGAAATTTTATGCTAAAATACTATTTCGGGCAAGATTTAATACAAAACTCGTCAGTAAAATGACATTACTTAACTCGGAAATTAAAATACTCGGCCCCAAAGGAACCTCGTACTTCAATATTTTCTCGCTAGTAATGTGTCATTTTCCTGACTTTATGTAAATAACCTATTACCCAAAATCGTCCTCAAACCTTCATTTTCATGCCTACTTTCTGTCAGGAAATTATAGTTTCCATAACAGACGCAGAGCAGACTACGTTTCCTGCCGCTTGTCATTTTACTAGCCGCACTGTCAGTTTACCAGCCGCATTTGTGACCTAACTGTCTATAATGAAATGACTCATGTCATCACTGACAGATTGACATTAATCAAAAGTTCTATATGAAAATTGATACTTCAAAAAACCATTTTGTAAGAATACTTATAAGTTCCTCGGAAAAAACCAGCTGAAAACGTGGGTTTTTTTCTGTTAAAAAATGGACACTTCCACTAGCGATAGCTCGAAAAGTTCTGACTTTTGGAAAAAAACTTTCTACAACAGTTGCTTAGAATTAGTTCAGTACTACTAAAACATTTTCAAAAAATTTAAAAAATGTCCAATCTGATTTCAAAACAACAAAAATTTGAAAAATTCAAATGGTTCCAGGAACCAACACTATCAAAGTGCACTTGAATGAAAAACTATAACATATCTACATAAAACTATAAACCATAAAAATACATACAATTTTAGTGCATTTGGACAATTTACCACCGTAATTGGTAACGATTTTATTCGTCTGGCGACACAGCTATATAAGCTTGGAAACCGCTGCAAAATGGCACTATTGACATAAGTTATTATTAGACATATTATTCCTAGATTATATATCTAGAGACCATGCACCTCAGGGCAGGCACATTTAAAAAAATAATACCAGTAACCTCGCCAGTAACTGCAACATAACTGGAAAAAACCCTAGAAATTCGAAAACTTGCAAAAATTGAGAACTCGAAAAAATCAAAGAAAACAGAAGCTTTAAAAATTGAGAAAATTCAAAAAATTCTGGAAAGTGAGTCTCAATCTAGGTCTCAATAATTAAATTCATTCAACTCAATTGATTTATTGAAAATTGGTGTGGAAGTGAATAGAAATGAAATAATGCAGGAGTAACCTAAAAATGAAATGAACGATTGATGAATTGCGATTAGTTCTTTTTGCCTCCGAGTGGAATTAAAAAAGAAGTTCGCGATTTTAAACAACGCGGACACGCGCGCGTACCTGATGGGAACGTACGGGCGTGCGAATAGTTTGGGGGGATTTGGGAAGGAAAATGGGGGGAAAGGTAGAGGGGGATGTTAAAATTTAACTAAAAGTGTAATTTAATACTAAGGAAACCTCTGTAAATAGTTCAAAAAGCTTGGAATGTTTTTTTTTTGTATTTGCAGTACCTATTTTATGGAATATTTTATAGGTTCAGCAAATAAACCCTAACACTCTTGAAACTAAAGTTAAATCAAGAGCCAAACACTAGCATTCCAACAAATCCGTTGCCATCGCCTTTAATGAAAGCGAAACTGGATAATAAGTAACAAGTGGGCGACACATTCCCAACACTATGTTTTCGAAAGAATCGAAAAGCAAAAAAACAATTTAAAGAATTTCAAATTTTTTAAAATTCAAGAAATTTAAAAATTCGTGGAAAATAAATTTAGGCAAAATTCTAAAAAAGTGTACACTAAATGAAAATCCGTAAAATTAAAAACGTTAATTAAAAATTCCACAAAAATTTAGATTCTGTAAAATTTTCAAAAGTTCTTGGGCAAGTTGGGTATTAATACGTTTCGGCGGCTTTCCACAGAGATTGGTGCATAAATAATCGTAATTTTGCGCAGGTCGCACAGCTATGGTACTGGATGTAAAAGAGAAGTGAACATCTTAAGAACTGTAGTAGTTACAGAACGGACAGACGGAGAAAACAGCTGCAATAGCTCATCCAATTTTGATAGAAAATGCACTAAAAATTGAAAAACCAATCTGCCAAACCATTTTGCAATATTCGGAAAGATTCAAAACTATTGCGAAATTTAATTAAATTATTCTGCAAAATTTCGAAAAAACACAAAATTTGAAAGAAATGAAAAGTTGGAAAATTTTTAATAAATCCTGAAAAAGTTCAAAAATTCAAGTACTAACATGTAAAAAAAATATTTAAAAATTCCTAGAAATTCGAAAAATGCAAAAATACAGACAAGTAAACCATTTTGACAATTTGTAAGCTTAACTTTAAAGTTAGTAGCTATAAACTCAGTACATTTCGAAATAAAGGGGGACAGGGGGGTTTCAGATAACCAATATTTTGGATAAAGCTTATTTTAAAATTCTAAGTGAAACAAGCATATGAATAGGAAATGAAAAAATATGCTTGATTTCGGTTAATGGAGTTTCTACTGTACATAAGACATTAAAATACAAATGAATGCACTTGGTTGTTTCCTAACAAAATCGATGTATAAATAAAGATTTTGAAACCTTGTACGATGTAAGCTAAATCTATCTATTCTTCACCCCCAAGAAGGGTTAGAACTTGAATTCAAATTTTTATAAAAATGAGTGCTGTTTAACAAAATTATACCTGAAAAAGGTTATTAACCGAGTTATAAAAAAAGTGATAATATCTTATGTATTGACATCGTTGACATTGTGGACGTTGTCTATGTTCCCAATAAAAAATTTATGTCCGAATTAAAATTGTGAATTGGCAATATCCTCCCTCAAAAACGATTTTCTCCAGTCATGATTTTGGATTAAGTCAAAATCAATTTTGGACAAAATACAATTTTCAAATTTAACATCCAAAGAACGCACCTACCTTTCGAATCTTTGCAGTCTCGTTGCTCTGTTTGTACCCGGCCACCGGCAGTAGTGGAATTATTGTTGAGAGGTGCTGCTTGCTTATTATTTTGTGGAGGAGTTTCGCCCGTCTTCTCCTTCTCTTTAACGTTCTTCTCCTTTTGTGCTCGAAGTTCTTTTTGGTGTTGTGCAACTTGTGCATAGCTCATGCGCGGTGGATTACACGAATTTTCCTGTTGATTACAATTTTAATTTCGAATTAATTTCGATGTGCTAATTACCAATGGAGGAGGTGGAGGCGAGTTGGGTTGTTTCGTGATTTCCGGCCGGGGCTCTTGTCGATTGGATGGAGGATGAGCGCGACTGTTCGTACTAGCAGCTACACTTACATGGCTAAGTCGTGTGGGTGCTTCACATGTAATTGCGACAGTCATGGTGGCAGCATTCGTAGTGGTGGGACATGCGGCATCTAAATCACCATTCAGAAGGACGTCATCTGTTTTAGTCGATTTATCTGCCATCGTACACTTAGCTGTCATTACAGGAACTAATCTATAAGAACGGCGGTTAGATTAAGCAACTAATGATTCACTCATACTTTTCAGGAGAGTTAGGAGGCGTAAGCGTAAGATTTGCTGGACTATTTTGAGAAATAGAGACAGCGGGAGCATTATTAGTGATAGATTCTTTTACTTCCGGACTCGTGTAAGCGTTACTTGGTTTCACGGGTCCATTTTGAATTGATTGCGCAACATTTGTAGGTGAACACGTCCTAGGAGAGTCGCTTTCGGGACCACTACTCGCCTCCTTAATGGATGTTTTTGGTTTAGCCGAACCCTTCACGATGTCGGCTAACCTATTTTCGCCCCAATTGGAATTCTGCGGCTGCTCTGAGCAATTTTGTGGCACTACTATCTCAGAGTTGACGGTCACAATCTGCCCCGGTTTTATTGGCACTGTATTTCCCGAGTGTTCTACAACAAAAGCGAGGTTACATTTCTCTCCTCCTGAACATAAGCGAGTTCCCACCTGGCAATGGCGGAAATGCTGAATCTTCCAAGTCAAATTGAGCTCCTGCATTTACTACTTCGCGTGGATTAGAAGGTGGCACAGATTGTGTACTACTTGGTCCCGATTCCTCATCTTTACGTTTACGGCGATGCCTAGGCGGAACTGGTTCTTTACTCAATTGCACTGGAGCCAATATTAAAGGTCTATAAAGAATTGTACCGTCCTCGATTACATCAGTTCGTACAATCGGCTGCACACCTGCAAGCACTACCATCACAATTAAAGACTTAGAAAACCAACAATACAGTAATTTATTGTACACTTAACTAGAGAACTTTTGAAATTAAATGTTTATTGTTGAATTGTTGTCTAGTGAAATACATAAGAAAGGGAATTTTATTTTGCATCTCACTCTCCTAAGTCATTAATCATCTTATTTTGCTGTACGTTTCTTATCTGTATATAAATTTTCATGAAAGAGATCAAGAAGAGAGAAGTGATGATTTTTTCAAAACTTCAGGCATATCCAATTTTACGGATTTAAGGCTGAAAGTCATTGGAATGGAGTTATATGTGCTATTAAGATCATGGAAGAGAATTGATCCATTTAAATCGATTATGCAACTTCATTTCAGATACTTTTTATCTTGACAACTTGGTTAAGCCCTCCAACTTATTGAAATTTTTATTTTTTATTTATCTTATATTGCCTTTATTTTTGAGTGGGCGGGGTTTCACCTAGAAAAAGATACGGCATTAGCTGGATTTGATACCCAGGAGTACCTGTTGCCCACCAGGAAATAAAGAATTTATCAAACATTTATTTTCATTGGTCACCCAAAATAAAAGCTATAACAAAAGAAATTCATTATTTTTCCAATAGATGACTTTTCTCGCGTAAGTGCGCCCGAATTACGCAAGATGGCGTTAAAATCTTGTACTAAAGAATAGTTTTGTGATTGCTTGACTTAGTACTGTTTGAGTGGGAGACAAATGAACATCAATAAACAACATCTTCAATAAAGGTAATAAACGACTGAAAATGTTAATAGTATATGATCTTAATACTGTAACAGCGAATCACTTAAGTTGTCTGACCAACATATAGACAATGTTTCAATTGCGCAAAAACTAAAAATTGCACAAAAAACTGTTAATAATAATAATAATAATGACCCTTATTGGTTATAATAATGGTTCCTACACCATAACCAATAGGCACAAGGTCAGGTAAACCGGTTAATATGGTCACAATGTTAGAAACTACTTCAACAAGACGGGACACAAAAAGAACCACGATGGATAGCTGCCACAAAAACAACTATCACAGATCGAATTTCCATATGCGAATTGTTCCCTAAGTAAATGGCAACTCACTTACGATAACATTCGGTGACAACAGTCGAATCGCAGTGAGCCTGTGCAACCATAGACTAACCCGGGAAGCTTTTACAATGTGTTTAATGGGATTGATCTACCATGGGTTGCTTCCATATGAGGAAACTTTTAAAATGAACCTAAATCAATCGGTTTGCCTTTATTAAAAAGTGCTACTGTTAAACTGAGTAAAATCCGTCTATTTAATAAGAAATTAAACTCACAAGTTTTAATATAATTGATTGATTGACTTTCACCAAAAGGTGCTACAGTTAAAATTTCAGTAGGATCAGATCACAAATAAAAAGGTTACTTCTGCGCATGTGCGCACGCATCTTTTTACATGTTTAATGGATCAATTTGCATTTAGTGAAAAGGGGAGCAATTAAAATTACAGTAACATTGGTCCATATAAAGAAGGTAACTTAAGGATAAAGCCTATCAGTCTGAAAATTAATAGATGTATCCAAATGACAAATAATATCCCTGCAAAAATTTACACAATTTGCGCCATTACATTTTAAGTTATCGTACTAACAAGTCGGACAACAATGACAATGGAGAAAAAGTATCTATCTAATAAATTTTGGCCAATGTAATAACAGCACAATCACAAAATTATAAAAACCGGGAAATTTAAAATCGCATGTCACATTGTATGACTAAGTTATAGTGTTTCAAACTGTTTATTAAGTTCAAAAAGACTAGTTTGTTTGTATAAATGAAATTAACGGCAAATTGAGGGCCGATGCAAGGCAAATACGAAACACAATGACAGGTTTGACGTTAAGGATGTCAATTTAGATACAGCAATTATAATTCGAAGCAAACAGTTACATGTGTTACAGGTTTTGAAAATTCGACCAATAAAGAATGTTCATTTAAATTTGCGGGGAATTTTTTGGGAGGAGCTTAACTGCATCTGTTGGGTGAAATAGAAAATTACAGTTCAACTGACTTTCATTATTATATCGCAGCATTTGTTTTTAAAATCTAACAAAATTCTTTCTCTAAAATTTGGAAATGCAGTAGCTGATTACTAGAGTACCAAAGATCATGGGTACTTACCCGCGGTATTCAACTACATATTAGTTATATATACTAATACATCCTCTTACCTTATATTTCTTAAACAAAGATATAGATCATTCAGATACACAAAGCAGTACGATCCTAACTCGACGTCTAATACAATTAACCATTGTGTCGTGTAATCCAAATGGTATAAGTAAATAAGTCTCTAGGCAGCACTTTTAATGAGGTCTTGGGAATGTTTATATTTTGGTATTCGATTTTGCAGTTTTATTTAAATTTTCAAGTTATTTGAACATTCCAGTGTTTACATTTATTACCTAAATAATTATTAATTTTGAGATTAAATGTTTAAAAATTCATTTTGGATGCTTCATTTTCTTACATGCTGGTACCAGTACAAAGTGAAGTTAGTAGGCAATTAGGTATATGTTAACACAATACTTTCAAATATTTAAAATGTGCACAGTGTGATTTGTATGTCTGTGTATCTCTTATGCCTGTCAAAATCGTTCAATTGATTAGGATGAAACATAGGGCAATAGTTGGACGTCTGCCCGCTAAAGTTTCTGTGTTACTAAAACACTTTAAAAAGTTTCCACACGGGAACAAGAAAAAATGAGATTTTACGTTGTTCAGTGGAAATTAAGTCACATCGTGACTCTTACCATTTTGTTATCATTATTCATTACAGCTTAGTTTCATGAAGGGCTTGTTCCCGAATGTAATTTAATCTCCACTAACCTGTTTACCACTGCCATTAGCGGAAACAATTTTGAGATTAACACATGGGTCTTACACGTTTTAATAATTTAAAGAAGTGTATTAATATCGCTAATTTCAACTAATCATCGTTTGGAGAGAGACTTGACATTTAGAAAGTAGGTTTCTTTGAAGGAGATAAGGTGTACTCCTTAAGAACTTCTCAAAGTTTCCATGGGAACAGGGTATGGGAAAGAAGGAAATTTATAAATAAGAAAGAAAGAAAGTGGCCAACATGAGTACAAAAATGCGAGTAAAAATACATTTTCAGGCAATTTCCAAACGAAATAGCCGGTCCGTGCGGCGCAGTGGAGTTAAAGCAGACTGCAGTACCAAGGTTGTTGCAAACTTTAAGGGGTGGTAGGTTGACATGATATACATACTCAGTACAAATTTGAACTCAATATGGTGCCGTCCATAATTATTTTTCTTGTAAATTTACTTTTTGTACCGGGTGACCCAATAAGACTGTTCCTTAGCCATACTCGAGAACTGTTCGTCATATGACTTAGGGGTAAAAAAAATATTGGTCATGAAGAATCGCTGGAAAATTTCTAAAAATGACCAACAGAGGGCGTAACTGCCATCTTAAATTTTAAAATTGCATTTTCTTTAAATTTTGCATAATAAACTAAAAAAAATTTTGTCACATTTTTAAAGACAACCAGTTTATCAATTTCGTAAAAACAAAAACGCAGTTATTGCAAAAACAAAGATAGTGTGTGTGGTTCAATTCTTTTTGCAATAACCTTCTTTAACTTCTTTAACGGTTTGACCAATTTTAACAAATTTGGTATGGTTGAAAAGAGCATTCCTTGGGCAATGAGAATCAACCAAAATATAGTTAATTTAGTTGAATCCTTCTCCGCCAGGGGGCTAGTTTTGACACTATAACTCAAAATCCTAAAAAAATCAAATGGAATGATATGACTTTTTCTTTATAAAAAAGTAAAAGAAAAAGTAGCCAAATAACATCCAAAGAGGCCAGTGAAAATCATTTTTCAAAATCTTGTTCCTAACCTCAAATATTGGGAAAATGAGAATAATTAATTAATTAATAAAAATACTTAAATTTACTTTTTACGTATTTCCGGTATTTGTCGATGGCGCGAAAGAAAAGAACCCTACACTTTTAGGTAGGCCTTGGGAAATTAAACAAATGAAACACGATGCATTATCAAATAATAACAGCCGTAATTTATTTATTTGTTTAGTCAGATACCATACAGAATGCAAGTATTCCAATTACATGGCACTGGGATGCTGTACTTAAAGCTAAAACTACATAGTAATTACGATCTAATATGACTAATTCATGAATGAATTAATTAATTAATTGGTAATTATTCTGCTGTGTTTACATTCAGGAAGTGCAGTTTTTGGAATTTGTAATCTTTTCTAAAATGCCGATTTCTAACCAAGAAAAATTTAATTTGCTGGCGATATATTTTGAGTATTTTCAAAATGCGGCCATCGCTGCCCGTATCTTCTATTTGCATTATCCGAATCGACCACGAACCATCGCCGCCAGCATAAATGCTTCTTGGTTAGAAATCGGCATTTTAGAAAAGATTACAAATTCAAAAAATTGCACTTTCTGAATGTAAATACAGCAGAATAATTTACAAATTATGGCTGTTATTATTTTATAATGCATCGTGTTTCATTTGTTTAATTTTCCATGGCCTACCCAAAAGTGTAGGGTCCTTTTCCAAACAATCTTTCGCGCCATCGACACATACTGGAAATACGTCAAATAAGATATAATTTAAGCATTAAGCAACAATTAATTAATCTCATCTTCCCAATATTTGAGGTTAGGAACGAGATTTTGAAAAACGGTTTTCACTGGCCTCTTTGGGTGTTATTTGGCTACTTTTTCATAAAGAAAAAGTCATATCATTCCATTTCATTTTTTTAGGATTAGTTAGATAGTGTCAAAACTAGCCCCCTGGCGGAGAAGGATTCAACTAAATTAACTATATTTTGTTGATTCTTGTTGCCCAAGGAATGCTCTTTTCAACAATACCAAATTTGTTACAATCGGTCAAACGGTTAAGAAGTTAAAGCAGGTTATTGCAAAAACAATTGAACGCCCCACACCATCTTTGTTTTTGAAATATCTGAGTTTTTGTTTTTTAAAATTTAAGATGGCAGTTATGCCCTCTGGTGGTCATTTTTAGAACTTGAAAATATTTTCCAGCGATTCTTCATAACCGATTTACCCAATAATTTTTTTACCCCTAAGTCATACGACGAACGGTTCCCGAGATATGGCCAGATAAGCGATTAGCTTCATTATCCGCTCTATGGAAATGAGAAAAAATTATATACTTGTAAGATTTTTTTTGCTCTGTTGAAATATAGTGCTGGCAATCTCAACTGTCCTTGATGTAAATCTCAACAAGCCATGCTTCTTTTTGATGTGGCAGATCAGTTGGGTTTATACTATGAGCAATGCGAGAATCGAGACCTTAATAACGAGATATTACAAAAATTGAAATTTAGAAAGTAATTCCAATCAGCTTTGAATGTTTACACATGATCTAGAAGACGAGATGCAAATGAATTACCCGAAGTAAAAAGTACTCAAAATTTTATTACAGGTACAAGACAACAATTTGCAATAAACACAAAAAAAACAAACGGGTTTTGGTAAGTTTTAATTGAATAAAATAATTCAGAGAGCTTACCTAAAGGAACACTATTTGTTGAGTGAGCATCCTGACCATCACTATTAACACTTGGTTGCGAATTGCTACTTCGTGAAGAGTCATTTAAAACCTGAGATTTTGTAATTGCTGTGGTATTAGTTTTAACCCCCTGGGGGGAAACCGACGGAGGCACCTGGGTACTATGTTTATTGTTTTGATTAGAATTTTGGGACGATCCCTGCGGATTTGATTCAGCTTGTGACGACGTTCGATTTTGCTTTCTTACTCTATTATTGGAACGATAAGGCGGCGCCTTAAACGTCTGCGGGGCCAGCCCATTTACCTGAAATACACTACTGATATCGTAGTAATGGCCTCCTGTAGGCCAAGCCTGAACAACCGACGTGTAAAAAGGTTGTTGCTGATAAGACTGCTGTAAACAAATACGAAAACGGTCAATGGAACTTGCCACAGGTGAAGTAGAATGGAAGGAACTTACATAGACATGCACTTGATTGGAGTATGTCGCAGGTGGTCCAGAGGTGCCGTTCGGATAGATGAACCGCTGCTGCCCAGGAGGAAAAGTAGCAGGGTCGTATACTGCAGTGGGAGGTGGTGTGACGCGAAAACCGTTTTTGGTGAATGTGGGTAGTGTCGTGGGCAAAGGCATTCGATGCATCGGCTTCGCTTTAATTCGCGCCATGATTGGCTTCCCCTGAAATTCCTTAACTTCTTCTCGTAAATACCTATAGGCACGTTGGGCGTCTTCATCCGATTCGAACGTTACATACCACGAATTGTTGTGCGCGAATTCGCATGATATAAATTTAGGGCAGTTCTCGCCCGAAAATAAATTCTGCAAGATCCCAATGAGCGTAACTTTCAATGGGGGGGATATAGTGTTTACCTTGACTTCCTCTAGAGGTGTGTGATCAGGAATTTCTCGTAAAATTACAATACATCGTTTGTGGTTGGGCCGCACTTTAATACCCTCTTCGTCCACTTGCACGTTAGGCGATTCTCGTAATACTTCAGTAATCAATTTGATGTCTTTGGTAAGTTTTTTAACTTGGTTGAAATTTGCGACGGTCCATATTGGGACATATTGGTCGTTGTCCATTTGGGATAGTAAGTACGTATCATTTGCCAAGTTTTCCCTGCAAAAAATACAAAATATACCTATCATGAACTGGAAAATAAAACACAAAGCACTTGCAAATTTTTTAATACATATTGTCGTGTAGTAAACTATGTCATGTACCTAGACGTTATTTAGGCTTAATCACCAAAAGTAAGGACAGGACATCCTGTATATGAAAATATTTCAATTTATTAAATAAATCTGGAGGATTCCTTATGAAAAAACTCAAAGTTAGTTTGTTTCTTTTGAATTTCTATTTCAGTGTTTGTTTTTATCCCTTTTGGAATTGTTTACAATTGTAGTTTTCATTTTATTTTTTCAATTTAGGAATAAGGTTACATCTAGTCGTTGCGATAACGATTTTTATTAATTTGATGGAAATGCATATGTAGTGCTGATAACAAAGACGCAGATGTTTCGAAGAATCGCGTGTTTCATGTTGGAGAAGTGGGGAGATTTGGCGCGTTTATTTATTAAAACATTCTTGAAGGAGTTTATTTTATGGTGGAAGTGATGTTTCCTTAAATATTGGAGACAACAAGAAAACGAGGCTTGCTAGTTTCGCGACGGTTGTAGGGCGTGTATTTTTGTTTACGCTAAATTCTCGACCAATCAGCACTATTTGTTTTGTTGAAGACGCAGTTTGTAATTTTTATAATAAATCTTGTGCAGAAGCAAGTTAAACAAAGTAGCGTAAGAAGTTTAATTTAATTATGGAAGAAGTTTTGTCGAGTTGAAAAATCAAGCACAGCTGCCTTTTGTTAAGGCTCGTCTTAGTCAACAGACCAGTTTTGTTTGTGATCTCTGTTATAAAGCAAAGTGAAGTTCGGAAGCTGTCTGAATTGACGTGCGCCTAGTATTGCAAACCTTTTACGATTAGATTATTTGGATTATTCAGAAAAAGCTGTAAGTAGTTTTCAGATCTGTTATTTTAATTGTCGACCGTCGGCGTGCGGGGTAATAAGTCCAAACAACCGTTGTAAGCTTTTCTTTTTTTCAGGAATTTTGTTTTCAAGTGTCTCGGAGTGAATTTTCGTATTGTGTGTTTATTAGAATCCATTGTGCGACTGTTGTCCCTTTTTCTGTCACCGAAAAACTGAAAATGTCAAATTTCGTTTTCAGTTTCACTAGCTTAAACGATCGGAAATGGAAATCAGAATTTTTAGAACATTCTAGATGTAGAAGCTGCAGGTTACTACTTTTGTATTCCTTATGGACGCCATATTGGATTTGTCCTCTATCTCTAACTTATTACGTAAAAATCCAATATGGCGCACATAAAAAAGTGTAGGCTGCAGCTTCTACATCTAGCGTCTTATGGAAATTCTTATAACAGATTCAGATTCTTCGAATAAAAAGAAAAATAATTTTAAAATGCTCGTAAGTTATAGCAGCAAATTTATTTGAAATCTTGTTTTAATCTCAAAATTATTTCTAATACATACAGCTTTCATGCTCAAACTTTAAATGCTGTCTTTCCAATTCCCATTTACAGCTAAGAAAAATGTTCACGCGTCAAGTTTGAAATTTCATTTCACACTCGCGTCTTTAGCACCTTTCAAGCTTCAAGTTTTGCGCTTCAAAAATGTACAACGTACAAATCTCTCTTTTAATTATTTACACTGCAGACTTCAAAAAGAAGAGTTTTAGGTTAAAATTTAAAGATACCAAGTTTAGGTTAAAGGAACTTCATTCCAGGATCTCAAATACTTTTTGTGTACGCTTCAACCACAAAATGTTAAAATTTAAATTTCACATTGAAATTTAGAGTGCACTTTTGAACCTTCAGATGTTGAAATTTCAACTAGTCGTTATACTTTTAAAATGTATAATAAAATACACTGTATATCTACAGGGAGACTTTAAAAAGGTTTTCGACCCCCCCCCCCCCGCCTATTTTGCGTATGCCTAACTTACTGAAAATGTAAAAACTGACCTTAACGACAATTTTTATGTACAGGGTGGTTCCAATTCGTGGCTCACCATTGAAATCGCTTTCAGACTAAAAAAAATGCATTTAAAATCGAGAGGGAAACCATTTTCATTTTTATTTCGGAAAAATATTTTCCTCATAGAGGAATTATACTTCCTTTTCAGTCTATACTTCCTTGTATTTGCTGAATTGACAAATTACACCTACATGGAGGCAGCCATGATGTGCACTCACTTGGCGCGAAATTCAAATCAACTAATAAACAAGCATTAACCTCACGTTTTCTAAATAAATTACTGTGACACATGTCATTTTCCAAGGTTGCAATAGTCTCAAAACTTAAGTACTAGGAAAATTCCCCTAGAAAATAACTAAAACGTGCACATCATGGCCGCGCCCATGCTAGGGCCATTTCTACCTCTATGCAACTGTTTGATCAGCAGTCCATCTTAATTTATAAGTGCGTGATTACTTCGAATTTCCTCATACTACCTCAACATTTTTAACGCATTTTTGCAAATTTATTTGTAAAATAGTACCTTTTAATCTCACTTTGGCCGACCGGGGCAGCAAATGAGAGCCCATAGAAGAACCCTTGTACAAAGACGAAGAGTGTAAGTGTACCTACCGGGGCCATATAATTAACTTTAGGAACAGGGCTACATGATGTGAGGTCAGCGACATCTGGGCGCCATCCCAGAGCGTGAGTTTACTAACATGGTGATTTTCCAGTGTTTTCCTATTTTCTTCTACAATTTTAGTCCGATTGTTTTCAAATTGGTGTTGTCGAAAAGATCCTGTAAACACGCACAACTCCTGCATGTCGAAATCTTGTTTTTTTTTCCTGAGGGCGAAGTTAACCACCTTTCACAAGACGCGCGTCATAGGAGGGATAATCGACTTTGGGCGTCCAAAGTTTCTTGAAGCTCGAATCGCGGTCACAACTCTTGTACAGATTTTTCTGTATCTTTTTTAACTAAGACAATATACAGGACGGCGGGAACGGGAGCGGAACGGACGCGTAATATATTTGTACAACCGTACAGCAGAATATGCATGCGAACCGCTGATTCGGTATACATACATGCATATTCCGCGTCCGTCCAGCTCTCGTTCCCACATCGGTTTGAATGCACCTTTTTCAAATTTTGATTTTACCATTTTGTTTGACCCAAAAGGAGTGCATGATACCTATACTTCTTTTTTAATAGCATTAACAATTACGGAGTTACACTATAAAAGTGTCGAAAATGGGATGCCCTGGACATAACCTCTTCAGTGATTCTTGGTACGTACTCAAAAATCTGAATGTACTTATCACACTCCATCCGGTACAAAGTCCTAGTTTTCAAGCTTAACTACATTACAGAAGGAATCAACTATTTCATTTCAACGGTTGTCCATTATTTTCTAAATTATCTATATACATGAATATTTTCAGAGGTACTAATCCTAAAAATATTCGGTCCTTTTTAGGGTACAAAAAATAAACCAAAAGGCCTCCATAACTAAGTTGAGCACTGTAAACAATATGGTGATAAAAAAGTATCCAAACATAAGAAAAACATGCCGCAACGTCACTTTTCTAATTTTAGTCTAAATTCTGAGCGGGAAATTCAACTATGGCAAGGCCAAGTTTAAGCCTTACGCTGTGGTTTTGATATTAAAAGTCACCTTTGCGAAATTGGAATAATCCAGGAAATGAAACCACATGAGAAACACATTTGGCAATTTTGTAACGCTAGAAAATACTGGAATAGCTAATGTTTGATAAAACACGTAACAATAGTAAGGTCATGGTTTGATTAGAGTTCGACACTCTTGGCCGTGCTCCTCATTTGTATTAAGTTCCAGAAAAAGATAACAATGTTTGAGAGTGTATTTGAACTTGCGTGAATTGGGTTGGGAATGACAAGGAGCTGATTCTTATGTAGAAATGTGTTCTCCTTCCAAAAAAGTTATCTGGTATTAAGAGTTGTAATTTTTGTCCAGTTCGTTTGGTCGCTGTACCACAAATCTTCTTATTGTTTCCATCTTAAACCTCTTTCTTAGGCGTATTTTTAGATTTGTTTCCAGACAATTTCAACCAACACAGAATTTGTATTTCCGATTGTTATTGATCTTAAAATTCAAATTTCTTAGATGAACTTATCTTTATCAGCCATGGTTCATAACTGCTAGGATGGGTAATTTTCTGATTATTACTTTTTAGTTGTACAAAGTGGTTCTGAACGTAATTTTAAATATATCATGAAACAAAGTAATTTTGAACGCAATAGACAAATGGTTCAGTTATTCAACCAAATAAAAAGATTTTATCAAAAAAACCAAGAACGGAAAAAATAAGGATTTAATCAAGGTCGTGATAAGATTTTTGTATAAATAAAGCTTGTGCACAAGACAAAAGACCACAGGAGTAGGCAAATGTCAAGCAATAAATAAGTGAAAGTGAACCTGTATCGAATGGTAAAATAAAAGTGATCGCAATAACAGCCAATTTACAAGCACTTCGCGATATGACAGGTTATATATGTAAACAGATTGCACAACTACTTTAATTTAGATTAAGTTTCTGAATCATCCTAATTCCAAAGGTTAAAACAGACCGTTACACCGTTAAGATCTCTAAATATCAGATACCAAAAACACTGATTGATGTGCAAAATAAATAATTCATTCCGCCAAACAATTTTTTATTATTTAAGTAATGCAGTCAGCAACCTCAAAGCGTGAGAAATAAATGCACTCCTATTTTTAATTCTGTAATAGGAAAATAGTCAAGTATGCTTTCACTTTTCTGCAACTGTACAGAGTGGTCCAGATCAGTTTGTCGTAATTATAGATGGCCCATAGTAGATCTTATTTGCTTTCAATGAGTCAATATGACTGTTATCACTGACGCATCATACTAAGTAATTTTCGATATCATTACACAATAAATCAATATAGTTTTCGTCTCTCTAACAAGCAAGTGACCGAGACTGTAAACCCACATATTGCAGGTGATACTGGTCCTCCCCAGAATCCATTAATGAACCATCTCTCTGTTTAAACCCAGCCCATCATGCAGTGAAGCTTCTCTCTAGATGCAAACGTTTCAAGGCTTCTTCTTTTGATTTTTTTTTGTCCTGAAAGTAAATGTTTGAGTAAAATCGAGGCAATTATTTTTGTTATTTTTCCAAGAAATACGCTCTATTATTCACAATTTTGAAATCTTTCATTTTTAAATAGAACCGGAATGAAACAAAGTAACTGATTAATGCTGAGAAATATATTTAGAAATGGAGAACAAAAGTTATGAATATATTGGCCTCAATGTAAAAATGACTAATTTTTTTGAGATAATTTTCAAGCGTGGATGGCAACTTTAAAGTCCTGTATGAAGGATGCTTGAAAATATTCCTTCTATTCTCACAATAAATTATTGCGTATGTACGGTTGTACAGTTATGTTATAAAAAGAAATTGTAACATTGTTTGATATGTAGGCGTGATTAATTAAAATCAACTAATTAGGAAAAATATTGTGGGAGTGGGACTGATTTTCAAACATCATTGGTTGGTATACTTGAAACCAAACGTTTTGCCTACTTAACTAAGAATTTTTGCTCAGTCCTCAGGTGTACGCTGTCCAAATTCTGAAATGTCCTACCCTATGATGTACTTTCTGAAACTTTGCCAAACATTTCATCTGCAATGCTTAACCATACAATGTCAAAAACTCCAAAGCTTCGACCGGTTTGTTTCAACAAGGTACAGTTTGTGGGTACGCACTCCGACATTGCCGTACAAATCGTTCACTTTTATCTTGGGAGCATCCACATTGGACACTTTCTGACCTTTTTGATCAACTTCTTTCCCCCCACGACAGGAATTTCATAGAAATTGTTTCCCACCTATCAAGACAATGCGTTTCTAATTTCACCAACAAAATTGATCAATAAATGTAATTTTTATTTAACCTGTAACTTTTACACCTACAGTTACTATGCTATTGTAACACAATAAAGATGGCTACACAACATTTTAACTGAATAGCTAAACGCACACTGGACCAGTGACCCAATCAGGCTGGAAACAGACATGTTTTGGAAGCCCGACCATTTGATTTTTCCACCACATTCGATATTTTCAAAACGTGTCCACCATTTGTGATGTAGAGGGTGAGTTAACGACTGCGCGAAGTAACTTAATGCTTGAAGATAAGATTTTTCGATAGGAGTGCTTTTGTATCATATCAAGATATAAAAAATATTTTGAATTATACAGGGTGCATCCACAAAGAGAGCTTTAAGGAGGTAAATATTTTTAAATGGCACCCCCTGTATTTGAATGCATTGAATTCTACTTGTAATTGTACAAGTCTTTTATTACATGCTTAATATACAAAGAGCTTGTAGTTTCAATGATAATTCGATTTAAAAGAAAAATTTTGCATTTGCAAACTTCAATTTATTGTCAAAATTACTACTTAAATTTTGATTCCAGACTCTACACCTTTTATTCTTAAAAAGTCATCTACTATGAAACAATTAAAAATAAATTTACAGGATGTTTGCTTTCTCCAGTTACTTCATGTTAAAAAACCGCACTTTTTAAATGGGACACCCTGTATAGTTTTTGGCATCTTTTAGTTCCTCCAAAAACCTTCAACTTTTGGTAATAATAATAATAATCTCCTATACCCATCTCTGATAGTTTTTGAAATATCATGGTTTTCGTGGTTTTATATTCTAATAAAAGCTATAATTTACATAATAATGAGGTGGCCATGCAAAAAAATGAAATTAATGTGACTGGATGACATTAAGAGGTTAAGTAAATTAAATGAGTGTTTTCGTTCGTGGTGGTGTTCAAGAGAAACGGAAAAATAAAAAAATGTAACACTAAAAGATTTAAAAAATTCAATATTGATTCAAAAAACATTTAAAAAATTTCAAAAATGTTCTTGAAATTTTCTTGCATTCAATACAAGATTCAACCATTTTTTTCAATCTTTGGATCTTTTTTGAATATTTTTAATCACTTTATTACAAGACTGATCCACCTCGCCAAAACATGTATACACCTACTTCGACTTCTTCGAACTGGTTTTATTCGTCATGTTATTCTTATGAAAGCAACGAAAGGAATTAATTTCTACCAACCACAGTCGCCTTTCTCTGCCTTTAACTGTGATTGGTTCTCGGATTGGTTATAATTCCACGTACCTCAAGAGCGGTGACGGGGAAGGTACTAATAAAGGACGAGTAGAAAGTTTCGATGACACTCATCTACTGGTGAAAAGTTTAAGTGCAAATATCTCAAGAACAAAGTGTTGGGAGCAGGTACTCTCAAAGGGCGGTTAAAGCGTCTAAACTGTCACAGTGAAAACTTAAGTGTGAATAACTCGAAAATTGAGAAGTCAAATGCAATAATAATAATAATAAATTGTCTTTTATTGGATAGTGTATAAAATATATATAAAACATAATAGAAGGAAAAACAAAACTTAATGTTGACACAATCCAATGGTGCGCAGTTCAGATGGGGTACATGACCACACATCTACTCTTCCACTTAACCCCTCCAATTTAATTAACTAAACAACAAAGTGGAATGAAACTAACTATATAATGATGTGAAGCGTATGATTAACATACATATGGGAATGACGATTGAACAAAACCGACAAAAGAAAATAATAATAATAAAACACATGTTTTGTGTGTAATTATTGCACAGAATTTCCAGTATATAGCGTAAATTTTGAATGTATGCCAGGAGGCCTTTAAATGTTTATCCCCATTAATCATGGACCAAGAACTAAACATCAATTCATTTTGCATCGTACAGGGTGTTCCATTTTTGACACTTTTATAGGGTATTTACGAGGGTATTTATTATCAAACTGAGAAATATAAACCTGATGTGCTCTTTTTGGATCAAACTTAAAATGATCATTAAAAAATTATACATTTCGGAACGACCCTATAATTTGTTAGTTAAAACCGATACAGGAAAATGTTTGCTATAAAAGAGTCTTTATAATGATTATTGAACAATCTGCCATTTTTAAAATAAGATAAGGGGCGAGATAAGGGGTCTGGTAAAATAGATATCGGACCAAGCTTATAATTTTTCATGGGACACCCTGTATATATTACTCAAATTTAGCACATTACATTTTTTTTTTCAAAAATATAACACTAAAAGATTTTTTAAAAAATTCCAAATTGATTCAAAAAAGGCGTAAAAAAATTTCAAAAATCTTTGAATTCTTTTGTATCATTTGAACTAAAGTCACTGAATATAGAAAGTACCGCAATCCATTGAGCTCGTGTGTTAGAGAGAGAACGCATGATTTTTGCCCAAAAATGGCGGAAGTTACCAGATTCTAGTAACTTTAATGTTAGGGATTGTTCCACCTGTTTGGAGATATCTGTATATATTTTTATAAAACAGGACAGTACTATGAAGTTAGGTTCTAAAAAAGTACAGCTATTCAGATTTGATTTGTCAATTTTTTTAAGTTGGCAGCAAATTTGCCCAAAAATGGCGGATGATTGCGGTACTTTCTATATCTAGTGACTTTAATTTGAACCTTTTATTAATTTTTTTGAAATCTTTAGACGTTTTTTGAATTTTTATGTGAACATTCGCATATATGAACATTCTTGTATCATTTGAACCTTTTATTAATTGTTTTAATCTTTAGACCTTTTTTGAATTTTTATGTGAACATTCGCAAATATGAACATTTAGTAATGTGAACAATACATTTGCAGGTTCAGACTAGCTTGCAACTGTTTTCGTAGCTTATTAGGCATTTTTGTAACAAATGCAGAGGCGAACGCACGTGTTTGTGTTCATAATTTACAAAATGGCACTGTACTATGTGATCAAAAATGAGTTGCTGTCGAGTCACATTTGGAATTGTTGTTTGCATGGGAAATCGTACTTAACTTAAACTTCCAAGGGCGTCGCGACTGCCACTTATTTTTGATCGCCCGTTATATTATAGAAACAAATATTTTATATGCCTTCGGTAGCGCGAACGATCTCGAAAACATGAACCCTATGGAATTGAGTTTGTATTAACGAGGGTCTACTGTATATCATAAAATTTGACATTACATTAATTATACACGAACAGAAAGTCATGAATAGAACACAGACTTATTACAAATATCTGCACTCACAGGCGAATTCATCAGGGTGTCATTATTTTTTTCAAAAATGCGCTAAAAAAATAAACCTACATGCTGTTACTTAATGTTTACCTGAAACATGGAAGTGAGCACAATTGTCACAGTTTTTATTTCACAATCGTGTCATTTCAGTTGGGCCAATTTGGATCATTCAAAAGTGACAATAAGTTGGCTAACCTTCAATTTTTTCCCATGGAAATTTCAGCGCTTACTAGTTCAATTATTTAATTGCAGTTATGACTAATCATAATAAAAATAATCTTAAGCGCGAATATGAGGGTTTACTTACTGTGAATCTTCGAAGGATGCTTCACCAACAACACTTTTTACATAACCAGCCTGCTTATTTTCGGACTGGTCACAGTTAAGACTAATTACAATGTATAACGATTTCATTACCGTTTCGCTGATTTAGTTGCATAATATCTTAAGTGCAGTAAACCGAACTGTTCAAATTTTCTACAGTTACTAATGAAGAGAAGATTCAAGGTCAAGAGAATGATTTCAAAAATCTGTTCTTCCCACTAATTAAGTCATATAATCAAATCGCCAACTGTGACGAATTGAAAATATTCGACAATCGGTCTCTGATGTAATCTGATTGATGATACTTAACATTTAAAAAAAAAAGGCACTCACCTCGAAAAATAGTATTCCAGTTGTTGCGAGAGCATTTGTTTTAATTGTGGTAGTGATAAGGCAGGATTCTGAGGTAAATTCTCCTGGGGTACCGACACAGGAACGGGGCTGAGCGCCTCCGCTCCTTCCGCTACCCCGTTGACTGCAACAAATTCGGGCATTGTCGAGCCACCGAGTTGTGCAGCGGTACAATCAGGGGTGGTTGTGTAGACCGCCCCTGAAGGCAGTTTGCCGACATCCCCATTCATGTACACGTATCCTAAAAGTAAAAGGGGTAATGTTACTAAAGTGCATCGAAATTGCATCCCTAACTTTAAAAATAGATTCTGGAGCTTGTGGCCATATGTCTCTAAGGGCTGTTAAACGGAGGTGGGTTGAATTGTTGTGCTGGGTCTGTTTTCAACAATAACTGCTCATACATACCATACATGATCAAATATGGTGACTTTTCAGACACTGCAGATTCTAACCTTATTTTAAAATAGTGATGGGTGTAAAATTTGAATCAAGGTCATTTTGTGAACAGTTTTGCAGCAACATATTGCAATTGTCCGTTCGGTTTTTAATTAAAATGTAGTAGGCTTTGCTTTTTTTAAGAGAATACTTTCGATTTGACGTCTTCACGGTGTTTGTTATCGATATTTCGCCCTCGATTAATCTGTCAAGTAACGGACGACCGATGCAATTTTCGCCACTGTTACTCCATAATGAAGATTAAAATACGCATAACAAAAGTAGAATTCGATTAGAAGTGAAATAAGGGACGGCCGTGCAAAAGGAATTGAGAACGTTAAATATAGAAAACAACGACGACGATAGATAATTATATGCTCTCGGCATACATAACTTGGATGCATAGATGCCCTTACTAGCATTTAACTAGCGGTAGACAATGGGGAGGAATTTGAAAAGTAACCCGGAAGCCATGTGCCAATCTCTCGGGTTTTTTTCTCTGATAAAGCAATTCGTCGAACGGGTGGTACATGTAAATGACTCCCTACTTTGCAGATGTGTTACGTTTAAAGCACTAGCGAGATAATTAAAATTACTCACTAATTAAATCCAACTCGCCACAGTAATCCTCAAATTGCTAAAACGCGAGGTCACTAAAAAAAATTGTTTGCAGCACGGTTTTTATTCGGCACAATTCACTAACTAATGCTCATGAAAACTTGTAAAATGGCCGTCGCTGTGCACATGCCACAGTAAACTAGGTTTGAGGGTGTAAGAGAGAGAGCGCGATGTCGGTTACGGTGCTGCCGCCTTTCACAAAACAATCCAAACAAATGAGAAAATTGTAATTTTTTCAAATACGGCAGCAGGATTGATGTTATTTTAAAAACTTGATACACGCACTTTCGTTAATGGTGCACGCGTTATCTGCGGCGTCCGATTCGAAAATAATATTTTCCCTATAAACGAGATGTTGTTGAAGTAACCAAACAACTACATTTATTATCTAAATGCGGTTAAGCCATTGACTTATTCAAAGTCAATGACAATGCATAACAATTACTATCGTTCGCGGTTTTCTCAAATTTCCTCCGTAGTATATACACAGTGAGTCAAAATTGTTTCCTCTTTTCAATTAACCAACTGACAGCATTTCTCGACTGAAACAGAAATTGAAATTATCATTTCAGATTTGCAGTGGCGGCACGTCTGCTTATACTAAAATCGTGCCTCGCATATAGGTATTCGAAATGTCGAGAAAAATAATATTCTCATGTTTACGGTTGTCTCGAATTTTCTCCCTATTTTCGGGGTTTGCAATTAGTGCGACATCGGACGATATCTCATCAGATGGCAGTACCACAAAAAAAGGAAAAGTACAAAATTGTTTTGGTATGTACAGGGTGTCCCAAATTCGAGCGTGACGATTGGGATTTCATAAACCGCAAGAGACAAGAAAAGTCATTTAAATTGAGGCAAAAGCTGACATCTATACATTAAATCATTTTGAAAAAATACATGAATCACACTTCCATACTTACTAAATGCTACCGCACTAACACCCTAATGTAAAAAATTGCACAAAAATAAGATGGTTATGAAACAAAAGCATTATAATAGCAAACCGCCTTTAAATATTTCTTAATATTAGAGTTGTAGATACTTTTTATTGTTGGATCTAATTATACTGTAAACTGTAGGGAGATGTTTTAAAATTTAAAAAAAAACCACGATACGAACACTGGCGAAATATCGGAAATTTAGAATTGCTTTGCTTCTGAAAAATAGATAACAATAGGTGTATCGCCTAGGTCCTAGAATTATACTCCTATAAGATATTTAAATTGAAAGCCCTCAATACATTTCGCGCTGGTCCAATTTTGGTATCGAATGTTGAATGAATTAATTAGTTGACTAAATGCCTCAAGACAAACTAATATTAATGCAGTTAGGCGGCGGCCAGAGTTGCTCACACAAAAAAGATGAAATCATACAGGGTGTAGGTGTAGTATCTAAGACCCCTCGGAGCATAGTTCCTTTACCATAAAACATACCAAAAAAAGTCTCTAAGCAAAATGGTACACCAAACACCATAATAAAATATTTTTAAGCACCAGGAGTGTACTGTATTCCAATGGCGTATCAAACTTGCGTTTTTTTTAAATGGAACACTATACAGGGCGTTTCAAAAAGAATCATCCGATTTTGTAGGTTTATAATTTCAATACTAATAATAATATGGACATGAGGTTAATTTTATATTAAAGGATAACTACTTAATAAAGTTTTTTTATACAGGTGCTCAATATGGCCCCCTTGAGATGCACGGCATATGTCTATGCGATACTCAAATTCGTCCCACACCTTAGCTAGCATTTTGACAATAACTGAGCTGGGCGTTGACAGAAGCGCGCTACTGCTACCTAGCGGAAACCACGCGAAACTCGAGAGCTTCCTCTTACTAACAGTACATTGTTCTATCAAATCGAACTTAGCCTTTTTCATTGTCACGTAATTTTTTTAGGTAGGTACTTTGTACTTTTTTTAAATTTCAATTGACACCCCCCCCCCCCCCCAAACAAATTATAGCTATGAATAGCCGAAACTACAAAATTACAAACACGGGTTGGCCGTGGGGAGCCAAGGTGGGCGTGGGCTTCAAGATCGCCAGATATCAGGCACTGCCGAGGACATGCGGGAGAGAACAGAGACTTCATATGCAGCTTTTTGTGGTGTATCAAGGTTGTCATTTCGAATATTTATTTTAAGTTTATAGACCCGCTCGCCCCTTTGTTCATGTGTCATTTTCATATATTTAGTAGTTGTACATCTATACCCAAGACTTTTTTAATAAACAACATGTTACCTACATTTTTTTAATTTTTCAAAAAATAGCAGACTGGGTTCGAAAAAGAGCGTTTTTCTACAAAATGGCGCTTCAACTTGTTTTTCCTTTGAAATTTTCTTATGGAAAAGTTTCGGCTGCCCAGAGCTATAATTTGTTTAGGGGGGTGCCATTTGAAAATTTAAAAAAAGATTACATTTGGCGAAGGTCAAACAAATTAATTTTTTTCCAATAAAATACCTTAAAAAATTATGTGACAGCGCAAGCGAGGTCTTAGCCTATGCCTTAACCGCCGGCGCGATTTAGTTTTAAAAAAATTCGAAAAACTGACAATTTTTGAAGAAAAAAGGTTCTAACATCGAAATCGTTAACGTGATGTTTAAAAATGTTCGTTGTAAATTATCCGTCGGTATCATTGACCAAGAAAGCAACATTCATTTTTATGTCATTTGAAAATTAAAAAATCCAGCATGACTTGGAAAATACGCTATCAATAGGGGGTTTCAATTGAAAAACTTAGTTTTAGCGATTTTTTCAATTAAATCTATAATGTTAATAGTTTTTGAACTCTCTGTATTTATTTAGGTATAGTTATCTTATGTATATCTTAATAATCTGAAAAATCAGACAAACCCAATTAACCCGAAGGATCCGAAACATAGGAAGTATTCGAATGTTTTTAAGAGCGCGAAGAATCTGAACGATTTGAAGAAACGGAAAGATTAAAAAACTTACGAATCTGATTTACCTGAAAATCTTAAGGAATCCAAACATGAAACAATAGAAACTGAGAGGAAGAGATTGTACTCGCAGAGTCTACATTTGATTACACGAGATATTTAAAGTATACCTACTGAGATTAGATTCTACAATTTTCAATGGAGATTTAGGTAGTTGTCAATATAGTAGGTATACAAAAGAAGTCCAAATTACTACTTACACATTTCTGTGCATCTTTCATGAATCACTTATAAAATTGAATACTTATGGAGTACCAATAACTTACAAAATGAAGTAATGACTAAAGAACCAAGGAACACCTACTCATATTATGCAATATCTAAAACGTACAAACGTGTCTCTGGAACATGAAAACCGCTTATTATCCTCGTGTTACACTAATCACTGGAAAGCAAAACGCGTAGGTAGGTACGTTGTTTTCTAATTAGCGCAACCACATCGAGAAAGCAAAAGCAACATGTGTGTTTTGCTTTCGACCACAGTTCTCAATAATTGAACGAAATGGATAATTTTCACTTGACCCTTACCCTTACAAATGGATTGAACCGCAGGATTAATTGGTTTAAAATATATCAATTAAAAAGTAACACAAATTAAACTAGGTAATTATCTACTTCTTTGCTTGTATCATACACATTACGCCCTTTTGTATGGTATTAGCGTGTGTATTCGGTATTTTAAGATTAGAATTGTGTGCTCATTTTATACAATCTTTTACTGTATCGTACACAAATTGTACTCTTACAGTCAGTTCGAAAAATTCCCCTAAAAAATATTTGTTTTAGTGACGCACATACTCCAGGTTTGAGTAAGTACCTACTTCAGTTGGCTCTGAGTTCCAGTCCCAGGTACCTATAACTGGTAAGGCATGGTTGTTTCTGCTTGTGTGGTAGGCGAGAAGCTATGAGCATTGTGTATTTTATTATACAATGCTATCGGCTATCGCCTTGCCTGGACAGACAGACTTAGACAGACATAAAGTATAATTTGATAAAGAAGCTTTTCAGCCCTTTAATGTATGTACCTAAGTAATAAAATAAGGAATACAGAATATGTGTTTAATTAACAAAGACAGTGAACACGCTCACATTTTTCAACTCATTGACTGCCCCTTTGAATAAATAGTATACCCAGGAAAAGGAATCTCATCAATATCCCTTATAAGAACGCATGATAGCTGTGATTATAAAACACTGTAAGTATAGATCAGAATAATGATA